TCAATGTAAGCAGTCGGTAAATGTGCAAATCTCTAGTTGCGCTTTAGCTGGTCTGAGGAGTTTTCCAATCGAGCTAGGATGGGGTAAGTACCTTCCATTTGTAGCAAATTAATTGTAGCAAAAGAAGCCAACTGGGCTCAGGGTGAGGAGTGGGGAAGGGGCACTGGGGTGGGTTGGGCAGAGAGGGTTTGGGGTCCATTGCCTGGTAAGGCCTAGGGCAGCCCTTAGGAAAAAGGCAGGATCTGTGTGGGCCCTGAGGGCAGCTAACCAAATCCATTCCCCTTTCTTCTTTCTTTTCTCTTTTTCTCACTTTTTGTACCCAGCAAAATAACTTGGTCTCCTCAGGGCAGGGTGGACTCAAGACTTTGAAACAGCCCACAGCCTTTTCCACCTTCTGCTCTGAACTTTCAGATGGGTCAGAGTCAGGGAGGCAGCAAGTCAGGATGCTGATCTGAGGCCTCCATGCCCAGGGCAGTCTGCTCAGGTGGCCTGAGACTCACCAACTTCCAGAACCTTACAGCCAGACAGAAAATCAGAAAGAGCCGCTTGCTATTTGGCACAAACCAGACCAAGAGAACTTACAATAGAAAGTTTATTTTTTTTTTTGTTTCCAGTATTTTTCCTTAAAAACAAATACCAAAAAAAAAAAAAAAAGCTGATCACAGTTTGCTTAAACAGCCAGACTTGGACAATATTTGTAACTTTGTTCACATAAACATACATCACTGAAGCTGCGCTTATAAGAGCCACTTCCAGAGTTCGTGCAAAGGGTCCTACAAAGGCACGAAGGGACACACCGCTTGGAGTCACAGTTTTTGTCACAGAGTCACTAGTCACTACACGTCGAACAAGTTAAGTTGTGTCTCATCAAGTCACCTCTACAACAGCATTAATTACACAAGGAATATAGGTAGTTTGAATAAAAATATCTTTAACAGCTTGGAGCTATTGAGACAGGAACACTTCCACGCACATGCACAGTTAAACAACTTGAGTGCAACACACAACATTGGCACTAAACAGGGTTGGAAGGGGGACTTTTTGTGTTTTTTTTCTCTTTTCTTTTTTTGTTATAGTTACTTCAAGTAACACAGCTTGCTTCATATAAATAAGTTAAAACATCTATTTTTTTTTTCAAGACAAAGCCATTCAGGACAAAGAGATGAACAGAAAGCAGATCTACTTATACAGGCGCTATAATGGCAATAAACAGGCTCATGATTAAAAGATGAATTAGGGCAACGAGAACAGGGCTTCTTCACAGAAGGAACACAAGGGAGTTTCAGAAAGTCACCTTAGTACTGACACTATTGCGGGATCCGCTTAGATTGCTCAGTACTTTCAACGCTCAAATACTCAAGGGCGGAAGGCCCCTCCCGCCGCCGCCATGCTCATGCTTTTCAGCTTATTATCTTTTTTCCACTTCATTCTCCGGTTTTGGAACCAGATTTTAATTTGTCTCTCGGAGAGGCAAAGAGCATGTGCTATTTCAATCCTTCTTCGGCGGGTCAGGTAGCGGTTGAAGTGGAACTCCTTCTCCAGCTCTAGGGTCTGGTAGCGGGTGTAGGCCGTCCGGGCCCTTTTGCCTTCTGGGCCGCCTATGTTGTCTGCAACATAGAAAAGTCACTGGTTTAGCCACCAACTCCTCAGCCCCCTGGCTCCCAAAGTTCGCCAGCTGGTCATGCCAGGGTCCTGAGCAGCAACCCAGGAGACAGGCTCAACAAGTCCTCCCTCTCAGCCCACCCACCCCTCCCGAATTTCCTTCCCTCTTCCTTTCTAGAGAGAAAACAATACGATTCGGACTCTGGACACAATCGGCCCAGCTGAGGTTGGAACCCGTGTTCCCAAGGACTTGCCTAGCTTTTCCTCACTCTCTCGCGTCCCCCCCCCCACCTTGGCCCTGCCCCGGTTGCCCCGAGCGGGGGACACAGCCCTCTCGGGCTGCCAACAAACCCACCGAAGCACGCCCCTTTTCTGGGTGCTCAAGTGGCCTCCAGGTCGCTCTCCCCTTAAAGTTCCAGCCCCACCGCCAACCTCCCGTTCCAGCCTTAAGCTTGGGGCGCCAGCTTTCTTTTTCTCCTCTCTGTCTCGGTCTCTCTTTCTTTCTCTCTCTGTCTCCTGTCCCCAAACTTCAGAATCCCGCCGGCTCTCTTCCCCGATTATTCCCCCCCCAAGCCCCCTTTTTCGGGGGCTCTAATTAGTAACGCTGTTTCCCCAGCGTAGCTCTCCTCATAAATTATCCACCCTGACAAGCCCGATTCACGGCCCCTACTGCCATCCTCTACCTCTCTGCGCCCTGCTTGGCTGGCCTGACCCGGGAGCGCATTCCGAGGCGCTGGGGTTCAAGACGAATTCTTTCCTTTCTCCCCCTTACATCGACTCAACTTGCCTGGCCCGGCAGCCCGTTGCCCCCCTACTCCCCCCTCAACTGTTTTTCGAGCAGCTCAGGGTGCAGCGGAGACGAGAAAAGGGAAGGAGGAAGGCAGGGCAGGAAGAACGGCAAGGGAGAGGCTGCGCAGGGCTGGGAGAGACCCGGGGAGACAGGGCTGCAGAGGACAGAGAGGGACCGAGCGCCGCACCCCCGAGCACGCGTGGATTTAGAAAAAGGCTGGCTTTACCATGACTTATGTGCAGCTTGCGCATCCAGGGGTAGATCTGGGGCTGCGCGGGCGGCGCCGGGCTCGGCTCGCTCTGCGCGCTCGCCTGCTCGCTGCTGGCGGGGGCGTCCTCCTCGGCTCCGGACGCCGTGCCAACCCCCTCTCTGCTGCTGATGTGGGTGCCGCTGGCGTTGGCCGAGGCGCCGCTGGAGTTGCCCAGGGAGTTTTTCCCGCCGTGATGGCTGTCGCTGCCGGGCGAAGGGGCCACGGCAGAGCAGGGCAGCGGGTCGGGCGGAGGCGAGTGCGTGGACGTGGCCGGCTGGCTGTACCTGGGCTCGGCGGGCGCCGCGCTGGCGCCGGCCGCGTAGCTGCGGGCGCGCTCCCCGGAGCCAAAGTGGCCAGAGCCCGAGCGGCCGACGCTGAGATCCATGCCATTGTAGCCGTAGCCGTACCTGCCGGAGTGCATGCTCGCCGAGTCCCTGAATTGCTCGCTCACGGAACTATGATCTCCATAATTATGCAACTGGTAGTCCGGGCCATTTGGATAGCGACCGCAAAATGAGTTTACAAAATAAGAGCTCATTTGTTTTTTGATATGTGTGCTTGATTTGTGGCTCGCGGTCGTTTGTGCGTCTATAGCACCCTTGCACAATTTATGATGAATTATGGAAATGACTGGGACATGTACTTGGTTCCCTCCTACGTAGGCACCCAAATATGGGGTACGACTTCGAATCACGTGCTTTTGTTGTCCAGTCGTAAATCCTGCCTGATGACCTCTAGAGGTAAACTCGTGCACTAATGGGGGAGTTGGGTGGAGGCGAGAGGGGTGGCGCGCGCTCCCCGGGCGCGTGCCCGCCACCCGCCGCCGCCGTTCAGTCGGACTCGAGCGCCACCCGCTGGAGGCAGGGTGCATCGCTCCGCTTCCGACCCCGGGCTGCAAGGGCCGGGGTCGAATTGAGGTTACAGCCCATTATGGCAAAATTATTGCATTTCCCTCGCAGTTCCATTAGGATGTACCAATTGTGAGGCCGTCAGCTGCCGATCGCGCGCCCGGCGAGGATGCAGAGAATTAGGGGGAGGTGGTGACTTGGAATTTATTTACAACTTTATTTCTGCGCTTTGCAACCCTTCTTATTTTTGTGTCGAGGTTGGGGTAGGTTCTGCCCGTTCTGCCTGCAGCTCTGAATTTTGAAAATACAGATATCGCTCTCCCTTCGGAGAGGGGAGGAGGCCATTTACCCAAATGGAGAGATAAATCCTGGCCACAACAGCAGCCACAATTAAGGCTCTGTTTTTTGCGAACGCACGAGGGTCAGTGTCCCTGCCGCTCTTCAACGACAGGCGTCTATTAAAGATAGCTTTTGTGTCGTGTTTCTCCAAGACAAGGTCAAAAATCCCACACACTTTTAGAACCGGAGCCGATTTTTCTTTCTTGTGAAGATGGTTTGGCTGTCAGTAGTTTGCTATTCGATTTGCTTATGTCTCCAGCTTGGAGAATCTTCACCAACGGGTCCCTCTCCTCCAGCCAGCCGGGCCCCAAGTCGGAGGGTTCTGGGTGAGCCAGGCGCGTGGGCCCAGGCTCCTCGCAGCCACCAAGGCTGCTTGGGGGCTGGGGATCCGTCGGCTGAGTTATTGGGGTCTTGCTTAGACCTCCAGGAGTAAACTGAGGGAGAGAATGGAATCATTGCGTGGCAGTGCCTAGTATCTCCGCAGTTGTTTTTTCGAGCTCCGAAGGATGAAAGGAAATCACAAATACAGCTGAGAGGCAATGGTAGTCTCCCCACTAGAGGCCTGGAGTCGCAGGCGCCCCAGGCAGGTCTGGAAGCCAGGACCTTTGCGGCTCCCATGGCCCTGGGCCCCCTCGTTGGGTCCAGAAAACTGTTCGGTGGCGGTGGCGGCGCCGGTGCTGTCCGAGGCCGGGAGCGGGAACGGGAGCTGGGAGCCTGCAGGAACCCCGTCGCTCCGGGGCTGCAATATTCCACCCGTGCCCAGGTTGGCTTGCCTCGGCCCAGGCTGCTGCTTTTCCACGGACGGTTCCGCGCGCGCGCGGGCTAAGGCTCAGCTATGTCGGGGGGCCCCCTTTGTTCCCCGAGCTGCTTCTTGTTCAAGGGTTGGCCTGAGAGGTTGGGCCCCAATCCCTTAGGCCCTCTCTTTCTAGTAGCCAGAAATGATTTGGTGATGCCCTTCCGAACTTAGTGGCCAGGGATTGAGGTTGGTGGAGACGCCCCGATACCAGAGAGTACTCGGCCGGGGGGAGGGGGGGGAATCTTCCTTCCCCCGCAATCCTGAGCTCCGGGGAGCACATTGGCACTAAACACAGGAACCAGGACGAATTCGGGGCGCACCCAGGGACAACTAGCTGGCTTGTGCAGCCTTGGGGAGAGGGCCTGTGTGTGTACAGTGCGTCTGCTCCACCGCCGAGACGAGATTGGGTGTGTATAGGTTTTGTTTGTTTGTTGTAATAAGAAAATGCTCAGACGATGGCAAAGCACCGGGCGCCCTTGAAACTGCGGAAGCCCCGATGGGAGTAGGCAGGGAGAGAAGTTGGGGAGCAGGCAAGGGCAACGGGGCAAAGCCAAAGGAGGTTGCAGTGCTGTCCCGGTGCCTGGCCAGGCATCTACTCGCCCGCCTTTGCCTCAGAGTCCTCCCCGCTGGGCTGCGTGGAATTGATGAGTTTATTTTCCTTTTTCCACTTCATGCGGCGGTTCTGGAACCAGATCTTGATCTGGCGCTCGGTGAGGCAGAGCGCATTGGCGATTTCGATGCGGCGGCGCCGGGTCAGGTAGCGGTTGAAGTGGAATTCCTTCTCCAGCTCCAGAGTCTGGTAGCGCGTGTAGGTCTGACGGCCTCGGCGCCCGTGGCTCCCGTACACAGCACCTGCAGGCAGAAAGGGCCCGGGGCGCTGGTAAGCTAGGCCGAACCAGTCAGTCCCACACCTCCCACTAGCCTACCGGGGCCTCTGGGTTGGAAGTTGCCCTGCCTCCCTTCCAGCCTCTCCCACCACTTCTGGGGCTGAAGGTGGCTGGATAGTGAAGAGTATTTCATAGCATGCAAGGTATTTTCCACCTAAAACGACTCGGGATGGGAAGTTTTTGCTTAAAAAAAAAAAAGTCTGGCTTGTAAGAATCCCACTGCAAGCAAAGTGACAGAATGGGCCTTTTAAATTTGAGCTCATAAAGTCCTATTTTTGAAGGTGTAGGGTGTATTTGTCTGAGGATGAGTGCTCTGGAATCCTGAGAGCCATGCAAAGTCTGAAATCATAGGCTGATCTCTGTGAGGAATGCTACTGGGCCCTCTCCATGTCAGGATGTTTGAGGGAGGGAGTTAAATATGATCAGTCCTCTCAAAATTCTCCCCAATGATATGATCCATCTGAAAAAAAAAACCAGCTCCATGGAGAAAAAGTGGATTTTAAAATAAAACAGTTAAGTTTTGAAATGGGGGGGGGGGGTGTTCCCTGTAGAGTCTTTGGGAACCAGAAGTGAAGAAAGGGATCCATAGGCCAGGTTTCTGGCAATGTAGGACAGGGCTGAGCTTTCTGCTTGGATGCCAAAGATGGAAGAAGCGCTCCAAGCCAGGTGTGAAACTCAGGTAGGGGCTCAGAAAGAAGCAGAAGTTATTGAGTAGTTTAGTGGAGGGGTGAGGAGAGGAGGGAGGAGAGAGAGAGAAATCCTCTGGCTTGGGGAGGTGGCCCTCCAAGGCTTTGGGGAGACACTAGAAGAGGCCAAATGGGGTCTATCCCCCCCCCCTCTCAGAAAGAGACTTGAGAGGCAAAGGAAGTTATCTCTTGCAAAGTGTTGGAGCCCCTCCAGCTTGGGAACTTGAGTAGGGTGCTGCAGGGGTACAGACTGGGCAGTCTCTCCCTCCCTTCAAGTTACCCCCATCTGAGTTTCAGGTAGCCTGGCAGTGATCTGCCCACCTACCTCTCAAGTGTCACCTTACCGTGGGCCTTATTACTCTCTTTCCTCTGCTTTGGCCTAAGTGCCCCATTGGGATTGGGTGTTGTTTTTGTTTTTTCCCTAAAAAAAAAATCTTAAAAGCCCAGGAACTTTTGCCCTTCTTTGCTTTCTTTCTCTGCCTCCTTTCTTTCTCCTCCTTCTTTTCCTTGCTTGCCTGCCTCCTTTCCCTTCTCCCTCCACTGTCTTGGCTGGGGGTGGGGGTGCAGGGAAAAGCCTTACCCGCGCAGGAGTTCATCCGCTGCATCCAGGGGTAAACAGGGCTCGTGTACTTCCGGTCGGTGCCTTCCTCCTGGAGGGCTTTGCCCTGCACGCTGCTGCTGTCGGGTTTGTATTGCTGCTCGGGAGAAAAGTGCAGGTAGTCCCCGGGGCCCCTCTGTTTGCCACTGCCCGAGGGCGAGGCGCCACTGAGGTCCTTATCAGAATAGAAACACGAGGCCCCGTACTCGTAGGATGCCCGGTTGCAGGCCAGGACCGAGTTGGACTGTTGGTAGAAACAAGGTGAGGTGTACGTCTTGTCCGGGAGGCTCGACGCCCCGTAGGAGGCCGGGAATGGCCTCAACGCGTCATAGCTGGCCGGGTAGAGGGGCAGCTGGCCCAAGAAGGAGTCCTGGCCGCTGGGCAGGCTCCCGGGGAAAGTGGGATTCACAAAATAGGAACTCATTTGCGCGCCCCTCTGCAGGACTGTGATTTGTTGTGTATTAGTACATCTGGCTATAACTATTAGTAGTCATCGAACTGGTTTGTTTCTGGATGGCCGAACGCCAAAAGCGACAGCAGCAAATCGCACCAGCTGACGCGGCGGCGGCCAATGGGAGCGAGCGCCGGAGCCCGCTCCCCGGGGACCGCGGCGACCGAGGCAGCAAAGTTACAAACAGCCCCCAGCCCGCCCGCCGCCGCCGCCGCCGCCCGCCCGCCCGGCAGATTAATGGGTGCACACAGCCTTCGGCCCGGCTCCCCCCCACCCCCATGCCAGGAGCGGGCACGGGCCCGGGTAGGCGCAGGCCGTCACATCGGGGTAGCAGCACTGGCTTCTGAAAGGCCAGACCAGGCCCCACTCTATCCTCCTCCCCTTTTTGCCTGGTTGGACTTTGCTGTTTGTTTTTTTTTTTCTCTCTCTCTCTTTCTTTCCCCCCCTCTTCTTCTTCTTGTGCTTCTTCCAAACAGGAAACCTGACAATCCCACGCCAGGAGGGGCGGTGACGAGGATGGCTTTGCTCCTCCCGGCCGGCACTCCAGGAATGGCCCCGAATTGCCCCTCCCCTCGCACTCTCTTACTCGTGGGTAGAGGTTATTGAGCTGGAGAAGAGGCTCTAAGCAGCCTCGCACTCTCTCTCTCTCTCTCTCTCTCTGCTTTTCACCCCTATACTGGGGATCGGTGCACCCCCTTTTTCTTTCCTTCCCATTCCTATCAGAGGTCTGGGCTTGGCAGCCCAGAGCTGACGGGTCACTTCACGCTGACCAGGAGCAGGCCAAACAGGCTCCCTTTGCCGACCCTTCCTCTCAAGTACACTTCTTGTTGGAGTACTGACGCACCTCCCTGCAACCGCCTCTTCTCCAAGCAAGCACCCTCACCAGCTGCGCACCGCGGGCTGTCTATGAACCCAGGAATGGAGAGGCCCGATCCCACTGGTTTCAACAAGCAAGAACCTTCAGCAACGGAACCGCTAGGAGACTGGGAGAAGCATGGATGAGAACTGCTCCTCTGGCCGCGCGCCCCACGACCCTCCTCTCCACCGGAACCGCTCAGAACTGAGACATTTCAAACATCCAGATGCAGACTCGATCATCATTCCAGAGGCACAGGGGTTGCAGGGCCCCTGGCCAAGCCGGGCACAATGAACAGCTCGCTGGGGCCCAAGGCCGTAGGATAACCAACAGGCTTGGTCCGCGGACCTCCAAGGCCTGCAGTCACGGGGTGTGCCCTCTTTCCTGCCACTACTGAGACTATTTCGGAGGCTTCTAACCCTGGTAGCTCCAGAACCTCGAATAGTCATCTCACTCGCTCCAGAAATCTTGATTCCTTTCAGTATGATTGACATGCAGACAGGACACGAAAAAAAAAAAAGAGGCCTGGCTTGGTCAGCACTCTCTTGCCTAAGAGGTGTGCCTTTGAGATAGTTGACTTTTAAAGTGCACCGACCCACAGCGTTTTGTAAAATGTGATATCAAGCCAATGGTATTTTTATGACTGTATTTGTTAGGCTTGTAAAAATCCCTTGAATTAGCTTTTAAATCCTCAATTCTGTGGAAGGTGGAGAAAGACGATGTGATTTGGTTGGATTGCAGGAGGCTGCTTACAAGGATCTGTTAAAAAAAAAAAAAAAACCCTGGCCAATGCAGACTCAGTCCTGAGGTGGCTCAGGACTTGGAGGGGGGTGGTAATTGGTAATAGTATTGTAAGGATCTGGTAATAACTCCTTTAATCTCTTTCTTGCTTTTATTTTCCCATATCTACCTCCCTCCAATGGGGAGAAAATTGGAAAAGGACTTGCCTAAGTTTGGCCTCCACCCAGCCCAGGAAGGTAACCTCAAAGACTTTGGGAAACCTTGTGCCTCAACCTTAATCAGTCCAACCCTGGGGAACGTTCTTTCTTTACATATAAAGAAAGTTCATTCCGGAGAGGATAAAAATGGACATGTCTCACAAATTTACCCAGGAGAAAGATTCAGTAGGTGAAAATGAAGACCTAAGAAGAACCACACACACACAAAGGCCGGGAGGGGAGATTTTTTTATCTTAAAAAGCTGTTTTGATGAAGATTGTGTTTGGGTGATTGTTTCTTAAAATCATCAGATGGCAGTGAGTGCAAGCACATTATTCTTTGAAATGAAAATAACCGTTTTGCAGATGTTGATCAATGTTTACATTTATAATTTCTCTTTGATTCCTTCATATCTGCTGGCAGTTTACTACTATTATTATGTTTTGAACTGGATTCCAAACCTAATAATTGTCTCGGCCAATGAGAGAATTTGATTTCTCAGCTAAGAGCCAGAAAATGTATGTTTAGCTCCTGTCACCACTAAAATAGGAAAAATATATTAGATTGAAATCTTTACAGGCTAGCCAAGATTAGGATACATTTATGTTGGCAGCCAACCAGTTTATCTCTACAACCATATATAGTTGAAGATACACACACACACACACACACACACACACACACACACACACACACAACCTAGAGCGAGAAAGACTTAGCCAGTGAGCAAAAAAGAACAACAGACCGACCCATTCAGGACAGAACCAGCCCCACACCCTCCATAAACCCTCTCCTGACATGATGAGAACGTTCAACTCAAGTCATTCTCTTCTGTCAAAGCCGCATGGAAAGCTGACTTACCTTTCAGCTTTTCTCCAAGGGAGGAAGAGTGTTGAGTAGGGTCACACAGTCTGCCCTGTCCTGGGCTGCCCATTGAGCTTCTCCTTGTCGGCCAGCCTCAAGATGGCCTGCCGATTTGTATGTGTGGGAAATGGAAGGCCCACCTCTGTCCCATCAAAGCGGTAGCCCAGGCAGAAACTCAAAGCACACAGGTGTGGCCTCTGCTGTGCCAATCAGGTCTTCGCCTGGAGCCAAAGCCGGCCTTGTTAGCCATGGCCATCTTCCTCAGGGCCAGTCAGGCCTGCAGGCCTCAGGACCATGAAGAGGCCTTTCCGAGCCCAGAATCCCCAGACCAGTGCATTGCCCCCAAACGGCGCGTGCCCCCAGGGCGCCATGGGACGCCTAGTTTGGACAGAAGCAGCCATGATATGCCAGGCGGCCTACGCAACCAGTCTCCATGGTGCTGGGGTGGGGGTGATGGGAGAACCCGAGTCTATTCCGGCGTCCCGCTCCTGTCAGGGGCGGCGGAGGCGGGGAGGTCTTCAAGCCACAGAGACCGTGGGAGACGGCTTCTCTTCTCGGATTCCCTTCCGTCCCCCTCTCCCCTGCCTTCTGGGGAATCTGTGAGGGGCCGGGACAGCAATCGCGCCAGGGTGTAAGAGGCGGGCTGCGCCTGGCGCCCGTCCCGGCATCGGCCACTGCGTGGCAGCAGCGAGCACTCCGCTCGTTAGCCATAAATAATCTGCCCGCAGCAGCCGCAGTAGGCAGCCAGCGGCCCTAGGAGGCAAATGCGCCGCTTTATCTGCCCCGAGAGCACCCACCTCGCCAACGGACGTCCCAAACATCTCTAGGCCCTTGTTAATGAGCGAATAGATACCGAGATAGTATCTCAACACAGGGAAACCACAACAAACAAAACCTAAACAAACAGAAGGAACTCGAGCCCAGAACCTCAGATTCCATTTTTTGTTGCCATCCCAGGAGCTCCGGGGGGCGGGGGTAGGGGGCAAATCTGATCAGATGCACACTCAGGACGAGCCACAATTCGTGCCACCGCGCTGCACAAAGCCACACCAGGCCAGCTGACCACCAGTGCCTCCCCCTGCCTAAAGCCATGGCCCTCTCCCGGCTGGCAGGAGTTGGGGGGAGGAATGGATGCCAGCTCGCTGCCTCCGAAGTGGGTGAGGGAGGCGGTCCCCTTATTACCCAGACTCAGTTTGCATCTTTCCTTCAGCCCGAGCTACAGGCCCTGTCAGCCACCCCTAAACCACCGCCGTCCACGGCACCAACACACCTCACCGAGCAACCCTCGATTAACCCCATCCTCTCCTCCCATACAGAAGCCGGCCAGCACCTATTCCTTCTCCCAGAGCTTCAGGCACCCATCTTGTTGGAAACCCGGGCGGAGGGACACCATCAGGGGGAGAAGTCATCAGGGGGAGAAGTCTGGCGGAATTAGTAAGTTTTTGTTTGGTTCTTTTCCTCATTCTCAGAGGACACCGATTTCCCACCGAATAGAAAACACTGTGCTGCTGCTCATGCTAAACCGCTTGTGGGCTAAACTCGCTTTGACCTCACCTCTTCCCATCTCCCCAGGTCGGGAACTTGTCTCCGGTGGTTGGAGAATTTAGTCAAACGAATCGCACCATGATGAAAAAACAAAACAAAACAAACCCTACCGGGGTGGGGGAAAAAAAAATCCAAACCCAAGAAAGAAACTGGCAGGGAACGCAGCGTGCGGGATGGCTCTCCTTGGAGATTCCCTTGATAGGGATCGAGGGACGCAGGACTCGCTGGCTGCTTACCCTGTGCCCAGGCGGGCGCTGTGCCACGGAGGGAAGGCGGGCTTTTACAGCCACGGTGAGCCAGGGAGGGGGGAGAGGGAGTTGTATAGGTGGTGGTGATGATGGTGATGTGTGTGTGTGTGTGTGCGCGCGCGCGCGCCCAAGCGCGTGCGTGTGGGCGCGGGTGAGGAAGTGAATGGGGGGGGGGGTGCCAGGGTGACCCTGGGGGGGGTATGGGTGAGGTTGACTATGACCCCCTTCAAAGTCATCTTGGATGCCCTCATCCACCTCCGTGGCACCTCACTACCGTTGCTCCTGTCTCCTTTCCCACATGTCTCACCTGCAGATGGAGGCTCCCGGAAGCTCCAGTCCCTCTGACAGCTGTCGCTTGTGCAGCCGGGGAGATGAATTTTCCTCCTGCTCGGTGCCAGAGGACGCAGGACTTTAGCCAGGTTGCGAGTTGTAAAGCGGCCGCCGCCGAGGCGCCTGCCACTGGACGCGCCCCACCTCCAGCAGGAGCGGCCCGGCCGGGCTGGGGCTGGGCTTCTGCTCGGTCGCCATCGCCGGACAAAGCTCAGCCCAGCCGGGCTGGAAGGCAGAGCTCCGAAGCACGCAGGACGGAGCGGAGCAAAAGAATGCGGCTCTATTCTCGCAAGGGAAATTATAAAAAAGTTCATGTTCACGGTTCCCATCCACATGACCGACAGCGGCCAATGGAAGGGCCGAACAACTCATAAAGTTGTATTGCAAAGTTGTAAATTTTCATAAACAACAACGGATTTATGACCCTTTCCCCATCACTGAGAGGAGGCAGCTCTTACACCGGCGCCATCTTACCACCGAGGCCGCCCCGATTTGGGGCCGCAGCTTTTACCGACCCTTTTGGGCCAGGTTTTATTTTAAAAAGAGCCCTAAGAAGCTAGCCCAAACCAGGCCGGACATAGGAATGGGGGGTCTGCTCCGGCCAAGCTCGGGATACCCCTCGCCTTTGGCCCCTTCCGACCCGCTCCTCCTCCCCGCACCCAGACTTCTATGCCCAGACTGCAAGGCTGACTTTGGGGCTCCTGCTCCTCCCAGAACCCCTCTGCTGCGGTTCAGAGGCCTGGGGCGCCCTTGTCTCTTCTGAGGGCGGAGTGGAGGGTGCTGCAGCAGGGACCCCTGAATCCTATTTCCTAGCCCAGGGCTGGGTTCAAGGCGCATGCGGAATCCGGAATGCGTGGCAGGGTAGGTAATACCCCTTTCACAGCCCACTCTACGGCCTTAGAGGAAAGGGTGGATTTGGGATTCGCCCATGGGGCACATGGAGGATATTTTGAAAATGACTGATAAAATATATCTACCAAAGATTTTGTTTTCAAGGGATCTAGATGTTTGTGCGCACACAATGACCAGACAAAAAAATCCCTACAAATTCAAGAGCACATCTACAATTATGGACACAGGGAAATGCATAACACTCAATTACAGACACCAAAATGTGTCATTATGGACACACAGAAACACATCCACCCAATTGTGGACATAGAAATAAATGCACACTATTATGGAGACCAGATACACATACAATTATGGATATGGAATTATACAGCTATGAAATGGTGCAAAAATATAAGCTAGCACACACAGGAACTCATACATACAAAATAGGCACCAGCATACCCAGACAAATCCATATATATTATATATGCATGTATGTATGTGTATTTATACATATGTATGTATATAACGTGACCAGCACACACAGAAGTACATGAACACCCAACACTTGGACTCCAGAATAGTCCAGCCACACAGACAGCCAGGCTTGTGCTCAGCTAGGGTCACCTCCCTTTCCCTGGTCCCTCTGGATAAAGCAGTCCACATTTCTTTGTCACCAAGCATCTTTATTTTTGTTACATAAAACATGATTAGCTGGGCTGGGAAGCATGCCTTCCCTGAACCCCAGGCTGGAGCTAAGGGGGACACAGGACAATACAGGAGATGAAGGGCATCTGGGAGGGCTTAGGGACCCCCCACCCACTACAGAGTTAGTTCAAGACAACACACCATGCTACAAAGTCACCCAAGGAACACATCCTCCCCAAGTCAAAACATTCCTTTACAAATGAGCTCCGAGACGAGAGAAACAAGGGGGAAAAAATCTTGTTCAAATATACAGTATTTGCCATTGTAGGAAAAGTCAGGGTACACATATTTGACATGGCTGACCGTAGGACGCAAGGACAGGGGAGGGGACCGTTAGGCTGAGAGCAGCTCTGAAATCCTACAAAGCAGAAATGAACCCAGAGGTCTGCCGCTCAGGAATGCTCCTCTCCAGAAGTGGGTGTGTTGGACCTGAACTTGGGGGTGGCCAAGCCAGAAAAAGAGGGATTCTAGGTTGCAGCATTTAGTATGCTTTGGAATAAATATATTATTTTTCAATTTAAATAGAAGCCATTGCTCTGGTCCCTGGACCCCAGTGCCTTGTCCATGAAGGACCTCAAAGGCTGTCCCCGGGAAGCTCAGGGGCCTGGCCTGGCCTGGCCTCAGAAGGCCAGCACCAAAAAAGCAGGCAAGCTAGCCAGCACAAAATAGGTAGTTTGGGGCTAGTAGGTAGTACTGAAAAGAATCCTGTTCTTGCAGGTATGCGGGGTGGTGCTAGGTATCTGCCAGTGTTGGGACACAGTGGGGGGGCTTCCTGGGAGTGGAGGCCCACTGGGGCTGGGCCCATAGGTAGTTTGGGGGTGCCTCTCAAGGAGGCCTGTGCTAGGTAGTATTTTGGCTGTGCCAGTGAACAGCACTGGCCTGGGGTTGGGGGTATCTAGTGGGATCCTCAGAAACAGAGGGGATCCCCAAGACGATCTAATCTCCAGCCGCCTCAGTCCAGAAAAGTTGGGAGCTAGAGTGCGTGATGGGGTGGGGATGGGGTGGGTTTGTGGTTGGGGACTTGGAATTTTTTTTTTACATTTTCTTTTTATTTCCCATATTTTTTTTTTGTAAATAAAACCAGTGAGTCTCTTAAAGACTCTTTTCCGACTGTCCAGGGCAGGGGATAGGGCCCAGAATAGGCCCCTTATTCCTCCTCCTCGTCTTCCTCTTCTTCATCCTCCTCCTCCTCTTCGGCCTTGTCAGCCGTGGTGGCGACGGCGGCGGTGCTGGCAGCGGAGGGCACGGCGGTGCCCTCAGGGGCTGCAGTGGGGGCTGGACTGTCGTCCTTATGTTCTTTCTTCCACTTCATGCGGCGGTTCTGGAACCAGATCTTGATCTGGCGCTCGGTGAGGCAGAGCGCATGGGCGATCTCGATGCGGCGGCGCCGGGTCAGGTAGCGGTTGAAGTGGAATTCCTTCTCCAGCTCCAGAGTCTGGTAGCGCGTGTAGGTCTGGCGGCCCCGCTTCCTGTCGGGTCCTGAGAGTAGAAATTTGGACACACAGACACATGGACATGAAGGGAAGAGTATATATGTCAGGCCCGATGTTCCAGACCCTGGTCCTTTTTCCCTTACCAGATCCAGTCACACCCCCTTCAACCCTGCACCCCTTACCCTAGCTATTCCGGGGTGCAGGAAGAGGGAAGTGTTAGCAGAAGACCGGAACTACAGTGCCAGACTTGCAGGCAGCTCTGTTAGGCGCTTTGGCTCAGAATCCCAACTTTACAACTGACCTTTCCAGCCGGCTACGCTTCCACAATGTCTCCTATCTCCCTGACAAAGGCAAATTGTAAATATAGAGTGTGGGCAAGTGGGAGACGCTGCTCTTTTGCCATTCAAAGGCGAGTCCAGCCGCTACCCAGCCTTGCTAGAGTGGGCGACCCTCTCCAGCAGCCTCAACACCCCCCCTTTCCTAGAAGCACCGAGTGCCATTCCATCCCTATGCCTGTCCTGAAATGGCCCCTGGCTCAGGGGTAGGTGAGGGGCCCCAAAGGGCTTGGTTCTCTTTGCTTTTGAGAAAGAAGAGCCAGGCGGAAAGGAAGAGCAAGGAAAGGAAAGGAAAGGAAAGAAAAGAAAAGGAAAGGAAAGAAAAGGAAAGGAGAGAGAAGAGGAAGAAAGGGAGAGGGGGGGAGAGACGGAGAGAGAGAGAGCGTAGAGGGAGGGGAAATCCACGGAATAAACTTAATGTTAAAATTCCAAGGCAAATGGAGTTAAATAAATTTACGAGGATCAACCCATTAATTGGGCCATAAAAAGTTTTATGAGCCTCATTTACATACAATGCTAGGGGTTCTCCACGCAATGGCGCCTCAGCTCTAATTAAAACCAGAAAGGCAGCGCCGCCGGGAGTCCAGGGGGCCTCCAGGCTCCAATCTCCCCGGCCTCCCACTCCCGGGGCGGACGCGGCTCTCCGCGCTCCGGGGCTCCCCGCTCCCCCCCTCCGCTCCCGGCCGGCCGCCGGCCCCAACCCGCCCAGCCGCGGCGCCTACCTGAAGACCGCATCCAAGGGTAGATGCGGAAATTCGCCTCGGCCGGGCCGCGCAGCGCGCCCTCGTCCGCCTGGTCGCAGGCGCCTTTGGCGAGGTCACTGCAGAGCCCGGGGATGTTTTGGTCGTAGGAGGCGCAGGACAGGTTGCCGTAGGCATCGGCACTCAGGCCGTAGCCCGACGCGAAAGGGCTCTGATAGAGGGGGCTGTTGACATTGTACAAGCCCGGCACGGTGGAGGCGAAGGCGCCCGCGCCCGCCCCGTAGCCGCTTCTCTGCGAGTTGGGCGCAAAGGAGCAAGAAGTCGGCTCGGCATTTTGGAACAGAGAAGCCCCCGCCGTATATTTGCTAAAAAGCGCGTTCACATAATACGAAGAACTCATAATTTTGACCTGTGATTTGTTGTCCGGCAGCTTTCAGTGTCGGTTTTACGAGGTAGCGTGATATATGATAACATTACACCCCCAGATTTACACCAAACCCCATTTTCTTTTGGAAGGAGCTCGCCGCAGCACGTGACCGCCCACATGACCGCCTCCGCCAATCTCAGCAGCCCTCACAGGTGGTCTCGCTCGGCGGGGCCCGCGACAGCCTAGAATGGAAGGGGAAGAGGCTCAAAGATGCGGCCGGTGGATCTGCCCGCGCCCGGGGAGCCTGCGGTGCCCTATGGCAAGAGCGCCCCGAGGCTCCGCGCAATCGCCCCGTGTGCCCGCTAACCCTGGCGCCGGAGCCTGCACACACCCGGGCGGGGTCCGCCCAGCACAGTGCCTCATAGCCGGTGGTGAACCCCAAATTCTATGTGTGGATCTTCCCGTTCCATCCGTCTGGGGACTCAGCGCCCCCGAAGAGGTGGTGCGCCCCACACATCCGTCGGCTCTGCCGTGGCCTTGGGGGTGCGGGACGCAGGTCTGTCCACCCCCCAGCTTGACTCTTGGCCAGACTGAAGAGCCGGCCCCGGCAGGCGCAGGGGCTCTTCTAGCGGCGGAGGGAGCAACACACCGCAAGCTGCAGCCATGTGGTTCGAATAAACTCAACGTCTCGCAGCTTCCTTTCCTTAATCGGCCGCGCACTGTTTATCCGCCCTAAAGGAAGCAGTGAAATGTTTATCTATTAATGAGCCTCATTTGCCAACAGATTTATTAACATGGGGTTCCTCTCCCTCCCCCAGCCCCCGTCGGCGGCCGAGGCCCTGCGTGCATACAGGCCCTGTGCAATTGCTCCTGGGCACCTGGCTGGCCTCCCGCAGCTCAGCCCGCAATTTAGGACTTCTTTGTCCTCCCCACCGTCCACCCTTGAAGAAGCTCGGGCTCCCTCACCTTTCCAGGCACCTTCCCTTTAAACCCTGCCTTCCTTGCCCCGAGGTTTCCGGCATCCTGAAACCTATACCCCGCTATGTACCTTCACCTTGTAGGTCTGGGTGTCCAAGAGCAATAGGCGCTTTCTAGCCCGTTTGGAGAGGAGAGAGGAGAGATCCCGGATGGCTGGGGGGAGTGCAGCCACTCTGGACCAGCTTTCCTTTCAGAGAAAACCAAAACAAATAGGAAAGCCCTCTCCAAAGGCCACCTCAGTCTGATTAGTCCTCGCCTTTCCAACTGTACTGGCTCACAAGAGAACGGAGAGCAGAGCAGTTTTATTCTTTCCCAGCTAGCCCCCCATCGTGGGACACCTACCTTCGCAGGCCTTGGGCCGGGCTGTGATGTTGGACCAACTGAAACTCGCGCTGCCCTAGGCTCGGTGGAAGATGACTGCGGGGGACCCATCCCCTAAACGCTTTGTCAACTACTCAGGCTACACTGGACTCCTAACTACCTTTTACTGCCCAACTCGATTGCACACCATAAACCCCAACCTCACAATGCAATTGCCCCGGAAATTCTCCTCTAAGTTATAGAGTTTGGTTCCTTGCGTACAAAGCATTACTTCTCCACGTTCAGAGGGTCCGGGCTGCTCTCCTTCACCCCACCCTCTCAGGGGTCCTGAGAGCACAAAAGAGGGAAGTCCTGCTCCTCTTTGGGATGTAAGGTGCCCCAGTGCGTACCCCGTAAAGGGCTAGGGCTTGCATGGGGAGGGGAAACAGGTAGTCGCAGGGCTATCTCCCCCCCCCCCAGGGGCAAAGGAACTCTAGTGGGGGGGGGGGGACAATATCCGGGACGCCATTTATGGTGGTTTGGGATGATATTGAGTCTCAGACAGGAAATAGGGGGGAAGGGGAAGGAAAAATATCCTCCTCCCCCCAAAGTATCCTCATCTGACAGGGAAATAAAAACCTAAGAAAGTTAAAGGAAGACAAAGCAAACAAAAAGAAAGTCAGGAGATCAAAGAAGTGGAATTAGATGGCTTTAGACCAATAAATTGTTCCTTGGGTGACACAGAGCAAGAGGGGAAGAGAAAGACGGGCCAGCGGCCACCGGCCTCTGTCTAGACTGAAGCGACTGGAGTGGCCGAGAAAGAGATGGTGTTTAAAGTAGAAGCTGCCTTCAGCAAGGAAGCGACCCAACTGTCTAACTGAGGAGCAATTTGGGAGTTGAAGGAAGGACATCGCCCTGCCCCTTCCCAATCCTCCTCTCCCGAAGGAGACTTGGGTGCTAGCTCGCAGGCTCAGCGCTGCCCAGGTTTGGCCGTCGCACGTCTGAGCGAGTCCAAGTGGTTCTGGCAGGACGCGCTGCCCGTTTGCCCCAGCCAAGGAAGACCTGAATACTGGCAGCCCGAGTCAGCCAACTGGACCCAGTCCTGCGGGCACCAAAACCTCCCTTTCGTTTCTGGGCCTCCCCCCCCCCCCTCTTCCTGCCTTCTGTGGCCAGATTTGCAAACGAAAACCGTTGGATAAAACCAGGCTATCAGTAAGGCCTATTTAATCATACACTTCCCCAGCCATCAGTCTCCTATGCATGTAGCTGAAAAGACACAAATGTGTGTGTTCGTGTGTGTGATATTCACAGAAATGCTCCTAGGCCAGTTTCTGATCAACATAGCTATCTAGTTATTTCTCTGGAGCTGACTTTCTATTTACTAGCGGAGCCTGTTTCCTGTGTTTTAAGATTTTTGGTCACCAAAACGTCCTCAATATTTAAACATGGCTAAGAATGTAAATCCAACCTCCACAGCTCGGTGAACGGTGAGCTCCGTGAAGAGGCTGGTGCCTCGTGTTTTGCTTCTTTAAATATATTCACCCTTGGTCCTCTGTTCTCTCCCTAGTGACAGGGCCAGGGTCCCAGGCCTGGACACGATGACCATCCCATCCCCAAGGCGTGCAGATGAGCTGTGGCCCGGTGGGGGTCTTGCCTGGGTGAAGGCCAGATGCAGAGAGCGGCTTTTAGGCAGCTGAGAAGGGAAGCAGTCTCCTGGCGCCAGCCGGCCAAGGGCAAGGGAGGCCCTGCCTCCCCGAGCCAGGCAGCTCCCCAGCCCCCGCGCAGCCTTGGTGTCTGCTGGAGAGGAGAGGTCGTCACTGATCGGTGACTTCACTTATTTGTAATTAGAGGTCAAGCTTGCTATCTGTGCCCACTGATCTTGTATTTGGCCACTCCTTTGCAGTTCTATCAATCGAGATTTCTATCTGCTGCTTATATACACGGCCCGGAGTGTCTGGGGGGGAAGCTATTAAACCTTTTTTTACAATCAGATGCTGTGAAACAGTGTGTATTTTATACGAAACTATAATGAAGATGTGTGTTTGTATAACAGAGAGAGAGAGAGAGAGAAACACCCGTGAAAGATGTCAGCCAACATCCAGCCCCTAGTTTTACAGCGTGTTCAGCACGGAGATGCGGGTCGTAAACATTTTGTGGGCTTGGCGGAGGCTGTAACGACCCAAATAAATGCGCGGCGCGGCGCGTTCAGAGGACCCCGGGGCGCGTTCGGAGGACCCCGGGGCGCGTTCGGAGGACCCCGGGGCGCGTCGAGGTCTCTGTCTGCTGCTGTTCTCTCTCCAAGACCTTCCGCCTTCCACCCGTGGATCCGATTCGCACCCAGGCTCGGGGCCGTCTTTGCGGAGGCTCGGGAATCGAGGGCCCTGGCCGGTACCTAGGCTCGGAGATGAGCTGGGCTTGGATCAGGGTCCCCTGCCTCTAGTCTCCTGCGTCCGGACGTTTCTACGCAGGCGAATGGCGTGGCTAGAGAAGTGCGATCGAGCGGCTTCTCCGACGTGAGCAAAAATTCCAGGGCGGAGGTGTTTTGTTGGTACATGTATTTGTTAAACAGCGCATTTATTCGAGAATAATCGAACAGAATCGCCCAGCGGGGCCAGGTCCCGGCTCATTTACACTGGACGGCCACCAACGGTGGCGGGTCGCCCAGTTTGCCCTCGCCTAAGTTTACCGTCCTCTGTATTCAGACTGGCCAAATCCCGGGCTTCCTGACTCCCTCTGCGGTGCTCACTCTGCCCGCCCTGCACCAAGGTGCCGGTTTCGAGGGAGCTCCGGGGTGCGGACCACAGAACCCGTGGCAGCGGTGGGCACCCTCGGCACGCCCTCTGTAGGGGCGCCAGGTCCACCGGCTTCCGTCCCTGTGTCCTTCCACCGGTGAGCGGGGGGTCCCCCGCGCGTCTCGCTGCCCAGAGGCTTGTGCCGGGCTGAGGACGATGACCCCGGAGCCGGAGCCGCTCTTGGAGCTTCAGCCCCGCAGCCACCGGGCAGCTGCGGCTCCGCCACGCGGCGCCCTCGGGATGGGGCTTGGCGATCGGCGAGAATTAGGCCAACCCTCGGAGCATCCTTGTGCCCCAGAATAGCTTCCAGCTTAGCGTGAGCAGCACGGAAAATATACGAGTGCTGTTCGCTCCGATCTGGGGGCTCCATTCCAGAAAGAATCGCGTCAAGTCGACATCTTAGGAAATTTCCAGGGTCGGGGTGGCGGGAGATGGCGGCTCGAGCGCCTCTTGCGTGGAGCCACAGTGCCATCTGCTGGTAATATCTTGGAACTGCAGCTCAGCAGCCCCAGCCTGCCTGAACTTCGGCATCCTGGGCTACAAGTCAGCCCGCACAGCTTTCCTGTCCCAAAGGCGGGGCGAGAGCCCAGTCCCTGGGGGTCTTCTCGGGGTCCGGAATCTACCCTGTGGAGTTGGCACAGCCCATAAAAAGAGAGCTGTTTCCGCAGCCGCTTTATCGGCGGCAGACAGAACAAACAAATGAAAGGGCTTTGGTGGAATACCCTAATTGGGGCTGGACAGTTGTAAACTCATTAAGGGCCGAATTCCAGACAGTTCGCAGACCCGGCCTTTATGGCACACTCTTACTGCCCATTCTTTGAAGTTCCTTCTGTCTGCAACAACACAGGGCGTCCCAACCTGGCGGCCTGTTGGGGGTGGAGGTGAGGGACGCCCCATCACCCGCACCGGGTTCCCCTTTTACGTGTTAGAACTTTGCAGGAGTGAGGTAGTTAGAAGAGCTGTAGAAGAAAGGGGACAGGGAAGGGGGGCGGGGGGGGGGGGAGCGAGGCCGAACCCACTGGCCACATCTGGAAGGCGCGTGGGCCTCCAAAGTTGCGGCCATTCTCCCCACCGCCCTTTACACCCCATAAACGGTAACGGCCCTCATTTTCTTTTATGGTGCTTCGGGGCTCCTCCGTCCAGCCTCTGCCCCAGAGCTCGGGACAAGCTTGCTGGGTAGGATATAGATTGTCCCTGGCGGGCCAGGTTGGCCAGACGCGGGGATGCGGGAGACCAGGTCTTGGATCTCTTGGAAATCTCCATCCATAGCTCCGCGCCCCTACCCCACCCCGCCACGCCGGTCGGCCTTCCGTTCGCCTGATCAGAGCCCGTGGCTGCGGGTCCTGTGCCCCCCCCCCCACTCTTCCACTGCTGTTCCCCACTTTCCATGGCATCGAAAGGCCCTAGGCATCTCTGTGGGCCCAGGTTTGGGAAATTTGAGCCACTATGAGGAGAGAGAGTGGTCCTTTCTGCTGCTATATTGGGGACCCCCCCTCAGCTCCTCCCAGGCTACCCCCCATTTCTGAAAATAGACACAAGGACTGAAACCTGGCCACAGCGCCCGGCCGCCCACAGGCTTCTCCGGCTTTCTTCCACGGTTTGTGCCGCTAGGCTAACAGGCCGGGTTGGGAGAGTTTGGGCCTGGCTGGACTGGTTGCAGCAGGTTCCCGGAGCAAAATTGAGGTTCTTTCTACCCCACTTTGGTGCAGTCCCGCACCCAGAGACGCTGCTCTGGATCCCCATGAGCCAGGGAAGGAACAAAGAACAAATCCACAAAAGCATAGAAAAGAATCAATATATTTTATTTGGCAAAAAGTTAAATATCTCAACACAACAATTTGGTCAGTAGGCCTTGAGGTAATTATTGCAAAATATACAGTGTATGTTCAGCCCGATGGAAACTCAAAATTCATCAAGGATACAAATGTACAGCAGCTCAGTGGCGGTTTATGGTGTATAATTTATTATCAATAAAATTAACTCCATTACAATAATCATTCATTTTTCCCCAATTAAAATTAAGTAAACCATAGGTAGTAACCTTCTGCACATATGTATAGCTCCGAATTTCCTCGCTGTTCCTCTGGTGCAAAAAAAAAAAAAAACACCCAAAACAACAACAATATTCAAGCTTATCTGATTATGAAATTTTTTTCTTGATATATAGATTATATATACAATGGACAAGACAGAACTATATAGCATTAGAGCCCAAAATGTCTCCATTTCCAAAGAGGAGAAACCATGAATCTATGCTTCCTGGAGAACTAACCACCCCCCCTTTTTTTTCAAATTTTATTTCACTGGAAAATCCTTATCGCTAGTTTACAATCATAGGTTAACAGCCTAGTTATACAGAAAGACGTGTATCCCACTACAGAGCTATACTCTATGCAACTGTTTCCCTCCCACCCCAAACAACCTGAGTTTAAATTGAATTCTAGCTTCCACAAACACAACAACGGGTACCTCACCCAGCACAGAAGTTTGAGTCACAAAACATAATTACCACAATAAAGCACAGTGTTCAAGTATAGGAGCAGAGGGATCTGCCCGAACAAAGAGCAAATTAAATTAACTACATAACTAAAACTCTACAGCCCGCCATCAACAGTTGTGCATTATAAAAAGGTAGTTTTTTTTCTTTTGTTTTAAGTCAGGAGCAGGTAGATATTTTTTTAAATATATACAAGCTAGCACGCACAGCCATCAGCATTAATGCCCTCTTTTTTTTTTAAATTTTATTTTCCTGACAGAAAGTGGAAAGCATACAATACCTCCTCCATCAAAGCCGAAAGCCTAGGAGCCAGCCTGAGCAGGATTTGGGGGAGACCTGGGGGGTTAGGGCAGCGTTGTGCCAGGGCCTTTGGCTGGGATGGGCGGCCAGAGGAAGGGGACAGCCCGTCCTTTCGCTTTCTCTCTAGCTTGCTCTGTTTGCTAACTCAACCCGCCTCGCATCACTCGTCTTTTGCTCTGTCTTTGTTGATTTTCTTCATTTTCATCCTGCGGTTCTGGAACCAGATCTTGACCTGCCTCTCGGTGAGGTTGAGCAGTCGGGCCACCTCGTACCTTCGGTCCCTGGTGAGGTACATGTTGAACAGGAACTCTTTCTCCAGTTCCAGCGTCTGGTGCTTGGTGTAGGGGCAGCGCTTCTTCCGCGTGGAGCGCGCGTGAAGCCAGTTGGCCGCGGGATTATCTGGGCAGGGAGGGAGGGAAGAGAGAGAGAGAGAGGATTTAGAAGAAGGAGAAGCACCCTGGCCTGGGTGCGAGGGAGCTTCCTGCGGTCTCGGCCGAGCCAAACGAATGTGACTGACTCGTTCGGGAAGGCGGCCCAGCCTGCTACACAATGGAACCCTGGCAGACAGACGAACGGACGGTCACTTACAATTGCCCGCAGTAAAACCTCGCTCCCCCGCCCCGCCGCCGCCCACCTCTCTCCCCCTCGTCTTCCTCCCGGTTGAAGAGAGGGCAAATCTGAAATCCCTCCTCTCCTTGGCCAGGGCCGCGGGGCTGCCGGCCGCCCTGTCTTCCTGGGGCAAGCTTGGGATTGTCTTTCTCCTGCTCGCAGACTTTGTGTCCCTTCTCCCCTCGCTCGCCTCCTTCTTTGACCTTCCTAGGAGGCCCCGAAAGCGAGGCCGACAGCGGATCATTCCCCCCTCCCCACTCCCCGGCCTAGGATCACGTTCCCAGTTGATTGCAGTCATCCCGCACGGGACTCTGCTGGCCTGATCGTGTTCCCTTCTCCCCCTCGTCTTTGGGCAGGATTTACGCCTATTGCCCCCCGGACCAAGGCAAGAAGTGGGGGGACCCCGTTGGTCCCCGTGCGCGTCCCGGGTCAGCGCGCCCCGGCTGACGTTACTGCCGCCATCCAAGAGCCATGGAGACGCGCACAAGATTTGTCCAGACGCGCTGCTTTCGAAGAACCCCCAAAGTGTCTGTGTCCGGCCGGGGGGGGGGGGGCCTGGGCAGCCCGGGAGAGGGGCGGCGGGTCCTGGCTCCGCCGTCGCGGGCCGCCCCGCCCCCTCGTGCTGCAGCTGCCTCCTCCCCTTCCCCCTGCCCCGCAGGCCTGCTGCTGGTCACGGTTGTCTGGACTTGGGGAGGGTTGGGGGAGCCCCTCTCATCTGTGGTGTCCCACACACCAACTTCTGGCTCCTGACGTGGGCTCTCAGCGAGGACGGAGGCTAGCTCGTCCAGAGCAAAGCTTGGAGGGCCGGCAGATCCGGGAGGCCGGCGTGGAGGCGGCGGCGGCGGCCGGGGCTGGAGGGAGGAGGAGGAGACACTTACTGGGGTCGAGGGGGGGCTTGTCTCCGCCGCTCTCATTCTCAGCATTGTTTTCGGAGAAGGCGCCTTCGCTGGATTGTTTTTCTCTATCAACTGGAGGAGAACCACAAGCATAGTCAGTCAGGGACAAAGTGTGGGTGTCAAGCGTGGGACAGTCACCCCTTCTGGCCGACAGCGGTTCAGGTTTAATGCCGTAAGGCCGGCTGGAGGGCAAGCCCGCGAAGGAGAGCGCGCCGGGCGTGGGCTCCAGCCAGGAGCGCATGTACCTGCCGTCCGGCGCCGCAGCGGCCACGGGCGCCTGGGGGTGTACGTAGGGGTGGTGGTGGTGGTGGTACACGGCCGCGGGCACGGCGTTGGCGCCCGCCGCGTGCACCGGGTTCCACGAGGCGCCGAACACCGCCGCCTTGGACTGGAAGCTGCAAGGGCTGAAGTCGGGGTGCTCGGCCAGCGCGGGCGCCTGCCGTGGGGGCTGCCCCAGAGGCCCCGGCGCGTAGCGGCCGGCGGCGCTCAGCTCCTCCGCCGCGTCCGTGCCCAGCAGGAAGGAGTCCACGTAGTAGTTGCCCAGAGCCCCCGTGGTGGCCATTGCCGTAGCCCCGCGCCTGGCCCGCCCGCCCGGCCGGCCCGACCCGCGGAAATTATGAAACTGCAGATTTCATGTAACAACTTGGTGGCACCCGGGGGGTGGCGGGGGAGGGGGGGGAGCACAGTCACCTAATAAGTTGCCGGCGCCCGCGCCCCGATTGGCCACGCGCGTCACGTGCCCGCCCGGCAGAACAATAACGCGTAAATCACTCCGCACGCTATTAATGGCCCGGTGTTTTGCAGTCATAATTTTTATAGCAAAAGCCATATGTTTTTATGCAAAGGGATCGCACCGCTCCACAATCGGGTTTGTTTTAATTGTGGCCAACGAAGATGAAAAGATCAAATCGGGCCTTTGCCTCTAGACTCTCTCCCCTGCCCTCCTACCACCCCATACCGCACACACGCGCGCGCGCGCACACACACACACACGCGCGCGCGCGCACACACACACACACATTTCTTAAGCGGACTATTTTATATCACAATTAATCACGCTATCAGGAAGGCGCGGGTCCGCGTGCGGAGTGAGGCCGGCGGAGCCCCCTCATATAAAATTAGACAATAATTGAAGCCATAAAAAAAGCAGCCAAATCGCATTCTCACTCTACTGTATTTAAATCTATATTTATGATATTTCATAAGGAGTTATTGTTTCAGAAGCCACACAGGCTGGTAGGAAGTCGAGAACGACCAACAGATTCGTTTGCCTTGCTGTGGCTCCCAGCTGTAAAAATTTATGAGGACTTGGAAAGGTTAAATTAGACTGTTGTGTTTGGTTGGTGAGCGCCCTGTAAATAATCCTTCGGGTCCTCTGAGATGCGAGTTTCCCCTGGCCAGCCAGAAAAAAAAAAAAGAGTCAAATTCAACGCAGTATTCACTCCAGAGTAGCCAACAGCCGCCCGTCTGGTTCTGCAGGTTCTGGTCCCCAAAGAGACACACCACCTGGGGTAGCCGCTCTCCCGGCCCCAGCCTGCCAGCCTGCCCAACCAGACGTCCAGCGAAGCCCCTGGACCATTCTTGCTCCTCCAGCAAGGGACCCACGCTGGAACTGGCAAAGTGGGAAGCCACCAGCTGCCCCTAAGGTGAAAGTTTGGAAGGCCTTTTGGTGCCACGAACTCAACCCTGCCCATGCCCCAACGCCTATTGCCCGGTGATCAGCTGGGATTAACGATTCCTGGGAGAAGGTAGAGAGCCTTGTGCTCCACCCAGGCCCGAATGCTAAAGTCTGCAAGCTTCTTCAGGCTTCCCAAACCCAACTTAGGGTGGGGGTGGGGATGGGGGACATCAAGCAACATTAATGAGAGGTGGATTTGCTGAAAGGCAGCCCTGCCTAAGAGATTCCGGGTGGCTGGAGTAGCAGTCCCGGGACTCAATGTGAGTCCTTCAGAGATCCTCCTTTCTTCTTCCTTTCTGGCCACCGCCCCACCGCTGCCTTGATCGCCCGTGGAACCAAGAAGCAGAGGATTACAGGGCCTAAAGCAAAGCAGTTGCAGCTCAAGTCCAGGGCTAAAAATTAAAACGGGGAAGAGGAGAGGTCGCACAGGGCATTGACTTTAATCCCATCATTTGGCCAGCCAAATTGAGGAGGCGATTTCTCACCCTGCACAGTCTTTGGGGGGGAGAGTAAATGAAAGGCTCCCACCACTTTTGTTAATTGGGGAGGGGGAAATATCAATTTTGAAAAGAAAGCAGTGACTTCTAGAAACTGGGTAATTAAATTCACATGTAAATACTATGTGTCCAGGAGTGTGTTTCTCATTAGTCTACTTCCCTGGAGGTGAGGCCATCGGCCTCAGGGTCTCTCTCTCTCTCTTCCCCCCACCTTTCCCCTCATCAACACTTAAAAGTAATCACCCCTAAATATCCTGACAGATCTCTAACCCAGGTGGCAAGGAACCCCCGATGCTAGGGCTCAGCCACAGAAGGAGGCTGCAAAGCCACATGCATGTGAACTGGGTACCCCTTTTTCCACCAAGGGCCTGTTTGTTAGACACAAAAAGTGGCCGATACAATGAACGCCAACATAGCCTGTCAGGGCTGCCTCAGCCTTCTCTACCTTAGTATTTTCCTTTCAAATTCCTCTGCATCTTACCCACTCTGTCACTGAACCCAAGGTGTCCTAAATCTCCGGGAGTCACCAGGAACTCTGGGTATTTTCATTTAAAAAATTAACTTTGGAGGAAAACTTAATCACTAATTTTAATTGTTCACAAACAAAAGAGGCTATCTGGCTGTCTTTTCCGGGGTGTGTGTGTGTGTGTGTGTGTGTGTGTGTGTGCCAAGATACGACATAGATTAATTTTTAAAAGACAAAGACTGTCCCTTTAAAAAGCCTTATCCCCAAATAGGAAGCTTATGGAATAATTAGCAGGTATTGGGTGTTAAGCAGCTGTTTAATGGTGCCTAGAAGCCAGGAGAAATTCACAAAACCAATTATTCTCCGTTCTTGAGCCCAGTGGTTTAAGTCTAAAATATTCAAACTTTTGAGCTGCTTTTATTTTGGAAGAGGAAGAGATCGAGTGTAGATTAAAAATCACAAACTGGTGCAATTACAGACTTCTTAAGGAAGAGTCTGCTTAAAATCTTGATCCGGAAAAAGGCAGAGAGAAGTTGAAAGGGACTGGAAGTGCAAGCCTTTCAGATAACAGGTTTGTGGCTGAGCAAGTAAACAATTCCTGGCCTGAGCTAAGAGAAGGAAGTACACTTCTGTGGGAATGAGTCTGAAAGTGTGTGTGTGTGTGTGTGTGTGTGTGTGTGTGTGTGTGTGTGTGTGTGTGTGTGTGTGTGTTATGGGGAAGGAGAAATGGTTTATTTTCAGTTTTCAATATTGAGAATAGGCTTGTTCCCATCATTAGATTACAACTGGAACAAGGACTCGTTTGTATACCAATCGTTCTTGAATTTGAGATTCCTTTACTTATTGGAGACATACTGGTGTTTGAAAGGGTCTCCTTCAGCACCGAGTTGTACAAGGGAGCCCTGCCTAAAATAGCTGAACCCAGTGTAAATGGTAGGCAAGCAGCTTTGCTCTAGCAGCATTTCCCTCACCGTGGTCACAGCCCGAGTTAGGATCAGCCGCCTGGAAGGGCCAGCCAGGAGCTTCCCCAGGAGGTATCGTGGTGATCAGACTCTAGCCGGGCTGAGCCTTAGCCTGAACCCAATATCCGCCAGTGAGGCTGGCGAAGTCCTCTTTGCCTCTCGCCTGGGCACACAAAGACGCTACGAATGCCCCCCTAATCGGGTCTCCAGGCAGCCGTTAGCGACCCGCAGAGAAAGAACGCAAGGCCGCCGCCATCCGGTCGTGATCATAACCGAGGCCTTGTCTACTCAGAGCACACCGGGCCCAAACCCACGGCCCTGTACTGTCGCCGCGCACACTCCTTCCGTGGCAGACTACAACATTCACTTCAGCACGCGTGTGGGGGGGGGATAAATGAGGCCTCCAGGCGTTCCCCTAGCCATCCCTTCTTCAAGGCCTTGGGATAGAAAGAATGGGAGGGAAAGAAGATGAAAAAAACAATAGAGAAAAGAAATAAGGTGCAAAGAGAAGAAACATGAGAGCTAAAAGAGGAAGCAAGGAGAGAAGAAAGTAAAGCAGATCGAGACGACCCCTGGGAACAGAAGGCGAAGAAAGAGAGAGGGGGAGAGAGAGAGAGAGAGAGAGAGAGAGAGAGAGAGAGAGAGAGAGAGAGAGAGAGGAAAGGGGAAGTGACAAGGCCAGGATCCCAGCGCCCCGGTCTCTTTTTCCACAGCTCCGGTCCCCATTGGCAAAGGGATCTTTCCAGAGCTCACACTCGGTACTCGGTGTGGAGTGTGTGTGTGTGTGTGTGTGTGTGTGTGTATTTCAGCCTTGCATAAGAATGGCGGGGTCTCGGACCAGCGCCGGCCTACAGTAGAGAAGGCTCAGGATGCAAGTGAGCGCCCCTGACCTTGAATGGCCCGGGGCCCAGAATTCTTACCACGCCCCCGGCGTCCAAAGAAGCAGCAGCTAACCTGACCATACCTGCTCTCCCAGCCAGGTGTAGGGGAGGGAGATGGTGAGGCCGGCTAGCTGGCACAGCGCTGGGAAGACGCGCAGCTCCTGCACAGGGAAAGCCGAGGTTGCCACCGCAGGCCTGGCACGACCGGAGCCATGATACCCCCCGCCTGGCCGGCCCCCGCGCGCGCACAGGTACCTGGAGACGATTTCAACTGAAGTAATGAAGGCAGTATCGTGCTGTCGAGAGAAAGGTGGATCCCAACAACAGGAAACTACCTAAATCACCGACCAGTTCTGGAGCTGCCCGCGCGGGGCTGCCTCGCTCGCTGTCGCCGCCACTGCCGCCGCCAAGGAGATAACCCTGCGATCGTGCCCGGCCCAGCCCCTTGGCAACCTGCGCCCGCCACTGCCACGGAGTGGCCCAGGCTGCCGCAAGCCCATCACTACATGGGAAGCCACCGATCCCCAGTATGGTAAGCCTGAGAGAGGGGGAGCAGGCAGGGGGGAAGGAGAGGGAGGGCGGAAGGGAAGGCCAAGCAAAGAGGAAAAAGGAAGGAGGGGGAGTTGGCGAGGAGAGCGGGGAACGAGCTCTGGCTGTGCCGGTTTCCCAAATCCTGCTGCTTAGCAAACCAGCGCCGAGTGGCGGCAGTCTTAGGCGACTGAAAAAGCGCAAGGGACCGCAAAGCGTCGGGTCCTCTGTCTGGCCGCGGCCTCCCGCGCTCGCTCCCCGCAGCCACTCGCTCTCCCCCTCTCTAGCTCCCATCCTCCAGCTCGCCCGCCCAGGCGCGCGCTCCCGCGCCCCATCCCCCCCCTTGAGCGGCGCCCCCCCCATCTCTGGCGAGCAGGAAACGCGTGGCCCCGAGAAGGCCGCCAGGTGGGGGAGGCCTGCTGGGGGCGGGGGTGGCCCTGGGCAGCCGGACCAGGGTCCACCTAACCTCTGCTGCAGAAGCTTTAGTGATATGCAGTGCGCATGGCCTGCTCCCCGGATTCAGGGTTAGGGTCAACTGGGACCCGGGGACCCGAAAAGTAACTTGCTTCTGAGAGCCTTTCCAGGGCTCCCGAAAGAAATCCTGTTTAGCTTCCTCTGTCTATGCACCTCCCCTCTCAACTGAAACCACTGGTCCAAGACAGCCACAATCCAGATATACTAGCAAGTCATAAAACTGAACAAAAGCCGACAAACCTTACGGCACCAGGGCTATAGGGCCCAGACAAATTACGACCGTCTAGGTAATATTTAAATAGATGCCTAAAGTAATTGCAGGGGGCTCAGGCTAGCCCGCCTGTTGTAAAAGTGGTGGACAGGATAAAGTGGAAGGTGAAGATAAGAAGTCAAAAAAGAGGTAAAATTTTAAAAAGCTTCATTCCACAGCTTTTATTCTATAAGAACATAAACATCATCTTTTTTTCCACGCACAGCAGCAATACAATATTAATTTATTCTGATTTAAGATTAGAAGTAAATAAAGCTAGAACTAACATTTATAATAACGATAGAATGCATTTGCTTAAAACAAGATTGGCATTTTTCATAATAATAGACATTTATACAGATTTGTATTTATAGTTTTTTTTCTTTTTTTTGCACCTACAGGTTTGACCCTTTTATGCATGTAACTTCACAGTATAAAGGAAATCCAAACGATATCTCCCTTTTCTCGTTTCTCTGCCTGCCAAAGCCCTTCTAGGCATCCATGAAGTTCAGAAAGCTCCAACCCCCCCCCAAAAAAAATGAATTAAAAAAAAAAACCAACTCCACACAATAGGGAGAATCATGGTGTGCTTTTCCTGTTACCAGTGGCAACAATTATAATGACAAAAATCCACTAATTCCACATGTCTAAACAAAAACTACATTATTTATCAACAGCCAGAAGGATATGGAAATTCAGAGGTAAGAGAAATTTTCAGTCAGGCAATGCAAGACCTTACATGAACTGGAAGAGAGGTTTCTTTCTGTTGGTTATTCCTTTTTGCATTTAAAGCTGGGATATCTTACAGAGGGAGAAAAAAATTAATCTTTCTGATTCTCACTTTTTCAATCAGCCAAAGTCAAGCCCTTCTGCCAACCTGCGTGACCATGCCCATATGCCCTTCCCTTAGCCAAGAAAGACAAGAAGAAAGAAAAAAGAAACCTAGGGGCCTATGTCCCCTGATTGAACACAGCCCACTATTCCAGGCAGGCAGGCAGGCTTGCGGTGGCAGCTCCTTGCACCATTGACCTCAAGCCAGACACCTCTGTGCCGACAATGGGACCTCAGCCTCTGGCTAGGTTTGCTCCAGGCTGAGCAGGAAACCACCTCAGTGGAGAAGAACAGAGGCCATTTCAAGCAGTGGAGCATTTCAAGACAGTAAACCCAGCCCAATCAGGACTTGACACTTAGGACAGTATCTGTCTCTATAGAATTTTGGCGCAATATGGCTTTTTCCCCCAGAAAACAAGTAAACCAGCACCAAGCAAACAAAGAAAGAAACAAACAAGCAAAGTCAGAACAAACCAGCCCTGCCCAGATGTAATGGCCCTGGAGATGGCGAGTGTGGGAGGGAGGAAAGGGGCTCCGGCACAGGTGCGAGTTCTGGGGCAGAGGCTGAACACAGGGGGAGGGGGGACCTTCTCTCTGGAAGCCTGAACATGGCTTCTCCTGGAGCTTCATCAGGAAAAATTAAAATTGGCTGTGAGCTCCCGGATCCGATTTTCTCGGTTCATTTTCTTCAATTTCATCCTGCGGTTCTGAAACCAGATTTTCACTTGTCTGTCCGTGAGGTGGACGCTACGGCTGATCTCTAGGCGCCGCTCTCGAGTAAGGTACATGTTGAACAGAAACTCCTTCTCCAGCTCCAGCGTCTGGTGCTTGGTGTAGGGGCAGCGCTTCTTCCGGCCGCTCTTTGCTGTGAGCCAGTTGGCTGCATTTTCGCCTTTGGAATTGCCTGGCGTTTAAGAGAATACAGAGGGGAAGGTTAAGTGGAGGCCATTGGAGCTGCAAGCAAGGGTTGAATCGTGGACATCTTTCCCAGATGAGGGATGCCTGAAGGCACACAAGAGAGGGTTTATGCCCTCTTTGGGCTTGGGAGAGCAAGCAGTTCCTCCCAAAGTCATGCCAAGATAGAGTGGGCCTGGAATCTGCACCCACATTCCCAATTTGTATTTTGCCCCAAACACCTGTTTTAGCACAGAGCTATTGGGGAGTGCTTGTAGAATAAAGGCTTGAAGGGCAGGCTGTATATCTTGAACTTAATGCCTTTCTTCGCATCCCTGATGCCCTATGGCAGGTGAGCATTTCCTACAGCCTCCTCCAGGCTGGGGGCATCCTTACTTGGATGGAAGACCTGCAGCCCCACTGTCCCACTCCAGCCCTCTTTGATTGCCCAAGGCCTGATGAAAAAGAGAAGGGTCTATAGTCGAGTCAACAGGAAAGTCACACTCACTCACACACACACACACACACACACACACACACACAAAATTGATTCTGAGTTCAAGGGCCCTCCCTCGCAGGAGCCTGGATGTGCAGTTGGACGATTCTGGATTCCAAGGGAAGCTAAATGGCCCCTCTCAGGCTTTCAATTCCGGGCCCAGGCGTCCGGGCCGGATTTGCCTTTTTCTTTCCTTTTTTTTTTTTCTTTCTTTCTTTTTCTTTTTCTTCTTTTTTTTTTTTTTTTGCTTCCTCACAACAAGAATCCCGCCCCTCCAGCAACTTTGAAAAAGGCATGGGGGATCGTAAACTCGAACTTCGCCGGTTAATGGGCTTATTTATTGGCGCTGGCGGCTGCTTATTTTGGATGCCTTACAAACATCCGTGCTATCTGCGGGCGAGCCGCTTTCCTTCCCTCCCCCTCCCCCCGCGGGGGCCGCGCCGCGCAGGCTGGGCCGGGGACCAGGACTTGGGGTGCTCCGGGCCACAAGCAAGAGCAGGCACAGGAGGAGGTTTGCTTGCTGGTGTCGTCGCCCCGAGTCAGGGTGAGCTGGGGCCAGCGCTGAGGACATCTTGCTGTGGGGCGCTAAGCCGGACATGAATTTTTACTGCGTCCCCACGCCCAAATATTAAAAAGCAAGTTCACAAGGTCAGCCTGCCTACAGCTTGGGCCAAGGCCGGCCGGCTGCTGCGCGGGCTCCCGGTTCTTGGGTCTGCCTGCCTGCCTGCCTGCCCGCCTCAGTGCAGCCCTCTGGCGCGCCCGCTTACCCAGGGAGTCCTTCTCCGGCGAGGCTTTGCTGCTCTCGGAAGGGGCCGGGGAGAGGTCCTCCGCCGCCGACGAGGACGCGTGCGCCTCCTCGTCGCCCTGCGAGCTGCCGCCGCCGCCGCCGCACACCAGCGTGGGGGGCGGCGGAGAATCGAGGGCTCGCTCCTTCCGGGCCGCTTCGGCCGAACCCGAGGCGAGTGCGGGCGGAGGATCGAAGCCGCGGCCCGGAGGCTGCGCAGGGAATGGGCCAGCGCCCAGCTGCTGCGCGCCGCCGCCGCCGCCGCCGCCACTGCCGTAGCCCTTGGCCGTGCCGTAGGCCTGCGAGAGGCGGAAGTAGCCGGGCACGGGTACTCCGCTGGAGGCGCCCAGGGCGCAGCCGTCGGATGGCGGACCCCGGGGATAGGGGGCCAGATCGGAGGCGGCGGCCGTGCCTTTGGGGCATTTGTCTGCCGAGTCGTAGAGACAGTAGGAGCTCTCTTCTTTGATGTTCTGTGCGAAAGAGCATGAAGTGGACTGTGGCGGGGGCTGGGGTGGTTGCGGCGGGGGCGGCGGCGGCTGCTGGGGTTGCTGCTGCGGCGACGGCCCCTCCGGTGGCTCCATCCGGCAGGACCGGGGCGCGTCTAGCCACAGGTCTATGGGCGCGGGCGCGTAGCCATGAGCTCCCGGACCCATGCCCCCGGTACTACCACCGCCGCCCGGCGACGCCGCTTCATTGCGCTTGCCACCCAGTGCCGGGAAGAGCCCGCAGCTCTGCAGCCCGTAGGGCAGGTCAGTGGCAGGCGGCAGGTAGACCCCGCCGTGGGCGTAGTAACCTCCTCCGCCGCCCCCAGCGCCACCGCCACCACCGCCCGCCTCGCCTCTGCCCGAGCTGATGAGCGAGTCGACCAAAAAAGAGTTCGCGGCGGGGCTCTCGGAGCATGACATTGTTGTGGGATAATTTGGCGAAGGGAGCAGATAGCCCTTTCTGGCTGACATTTCTTGTGCAAAACATGCTGAATACGATTAGCAATCCCCCCGCACCACGGCGGACGCCCGCAGCCAATCCTGAGCCAGAGATTCCGCGCGACCACTCCCAGTTTGGTTTCGTAGGCTCGGGGCAGCTCTCCGAGGGCGCCCTCAGAGCCCGCGATTGATATAAATATGTAATCTGTATTGATAGGCCAGAAGACGCACGCCTGACACCTTGGCCCAAAGGCCAGGAGCTGTGGGGGCTGCACCAAAGTGGCTGATGGGGGGCCTGGCCCCTGGGTTTGCCCCGCCCCTACTCGGATGTGAGCCCCACGCCAGGGTCTGCTGGAAGCGCCCTTGGGCTCTGCGCAGTTAACAAGTGGAGTGTTTATGGTGCGCACTCCAGCCTGCCGTGGGTGCTCCCCAGCGCTGTTGTGGAAGCGGCCTTTAGTCCCTGGTGCCCCTTGGCCACTTCAGGGAGGACCTGTCGGGTCTCTCTTTCTACATAGTCAGCTGGAGTAGAGGTAGCTCCATCTCTGAAATCTGGCTCCCCAAACTGGCAAACGGTGCCCTCATGCCTGTGTGTCTGTAATCCAGAGAACTGGAAGAATAGCTATTGCCATACTTTTGACATTTCATACAAAATAATGCTCCAAATGCAACGATTGATTTGTGACTCTTCCATCCCCAACACTCTCCTACGCCATCAGTTGAGCTAACCAGAATTTTCTCCTCCTTTGTGTTCACCTGCTTGACCTTCTCTGCTGTCCCAGAACCTTGCTGGGTTGGCCTGAGTGGGGTGAGAATCCATGACCGTTGTCGACTGAAGACTTCCCCATCCTCAGGCAAAGGCCAGAGTCAAGTCCAGGACACCCCCTGCCCCATCAGCCTGCGGAGACAGCTAGCTCAAGTCCTTTTGAGGAAGTAAAAAACTGGCCCTAGGTCGTTGGCCTTCCAGAATATGGAGACCTGGAGGGCAAAGTTGGGGGAATGTGCCCAGCTGGCACTCCTTTTAGCCTTGCCATTCTCAGACTCCCAGAGGCTATGCAAAAACTAGTGTCACTACAATTCTGTCTCTCTGGGTCCCCACCCCTTTTCCTCCCTCCCCTCCAAACCCAGGGTTGGGGCAGTCCTTGCTGGAGTGCAGCATGAGTATTTTAACAAGGCCCCAGTGAGGAAATCCATTCGCCTCCAGCCCAAGCTGGGCTTGTGGCCCTGTTATAAGAGTTCCAAGGCCAGGCCTTTCACTCAGTAGACATCGGGTCTTACTCAGGGCGCTTTCTTAACCAATTGGAAAAGGTTAGCCTGGGGCCTAGCCCCCAAGTGTGGGGCCTCAAACAAGGCTCAGGAAATTCGACCTTTTCCGGCCGGATCCAGTGGAGCCCTGGAGGTCGCTGCCATGCCCCTGACCTGCCGGCTACAGGTCTCCAGAATGCCCCTAGGCTTGTCTGTCCCACCATTTCCATTTGGAGCTAGTTGCTGACTGCCTGGATCCTTGGAAGGAGATTACTCCAGCTTCTGCCGAGAGGGAAAGATTCACATCCGGGTGGTCTTGCTCTAGCTCCTGCGAGAATGAAGCCACCCCAAGACAAAGCCAACCCTGAGAGGACTTGGAGGGCACCAGGGAGAGCTGCCTAAGCAGAATCCAGGCTCTGGCTTCCGGGATTCAGCGTCTGCAGTAGTGGCTGCTTGGACTGCACACACACCCAGAGGACATTGCCACGGCTAACACCGCCCTCTAACCAAGTCACTTCCATCTCCGTCCCTGCTGTGACTGGTTCCATGGACTGGACTGAGTATCAGCGTGCACAGGAAGGAGATGGAGAAAGAAGAAAAGATGAAAGAGGAGAGGGGGGAAGGAGGGGAGAGAAAGAAAAGGGAGAACATAACAGCCCTGAGTCCACACGCTGCAGCCGCATTCTAGCAGAATCAAGACTGAATCTGTGCCGAGATACCATTCCATTTCCTCTACTCTTTGCTTTTCAATTTCCAGAGGTTTATGGAAAACCTGTGCCCTGGGCAAGGGCAAATTCTCATCAAGGTGGCAGCCGGAGGTGAATGCTGGAAAGCTTCAGAGCACTGCAGCCTAGGTCCCTCCCATAGACTTCCGGATCTGCCGGGTCCCTGCTTGGCTCACTGCTCTAGTGGAATTGGCTGACACTATAGTGCTCAGCACTGTCACCTGGAAAAATGACAATGTGGAGATCTGCCTGAAAAAGGCATTTGATTCCTCGTCTTTGCCTGGGGCCTCTTAGGAAAGCTTCATTACATAGGAATGTAGGTCCCAAGAATCATAAGGGTTCTTTAAGGAGGAGTCAAGCAAACCCATGGGCTAGAATTAGAACAGTGCCTATTCAGATCCAATAGCCGAGAAAGTTTAGCTCTGGCTGAAGTTTGGGAAGGGACCAGGAGACATTGGACAATACATTTGAGATGGTGGAAGCTGCAAAAGTAAAGCGAAAGGCAATGATATAAAAGTCTTAACATTTTAGGGCCAGGGACCCCTTTGGAAAAATCTCTAAGGCCAGTTTTGACTTTTCCTATCAAAAAATGCCTATCTATGCATCCTCATAATTTGACCCGTCATTTTCACAGACCCTTCAAAGCTTTCTCCTTTGGTTCTCTATAGCATCCAGAACAGGCCTAAAACCAATAGCCCTGCCAGTTTGGTTAGTAAGATAAGCCGTCTGCCTGGCTGCAGGCTGGCCGTTCAGGTCCGTCCTAGCCAGGGCCCTAGATAGGACAGCCAAATGGGTTGGATCAGATTCCAAAGCCTGCACATGCCAACAGAGGTTAAAAAAGTCAGCTTCGGACTACATCTGCTACTAAAGGCCACACCTGGCAAAGAGTGGAGACGCCAGACACCCTGCTACCAGCCCTGAGACCGTGGCTTTGGCCCTTGAGGAAAGCATGCATTTCTCCGTCTTGACTGCCTCTTTCCTTGCAGTAAACTGAATAGGTTATTTTGCGTGAGCTTTTTCTTACTTTTCCAAACAAACAAACAAAAAATAAGTGTATATGCTTGGAGGGGAGGCTCCTGCTGATTCAGAATCTCTACTCTAACCACCCCCACCAGGACTTACTGAACACAACGAACAGCAAGAAAGCCTGCAGTGCGCCACGGGGCGGACTGGCCTAAAGTGGCTAGCTCAAACTGAAGAATACCAAGTGGCAGCAGCTCGATTTAAACACTACCAAGTGCCTCCCCAGACATCTCAGATGATCTGGAGCATTCTCCCATCACAGACAAGCGCTAAGGCTTTGGTGACTCCCTAGAACACAACAGTGAGGTGTTAGCCCCCTCAATAAAATATTCCATGTATCGATTTGATCTCCTTGGCTTTCCCGACATTCCCCATCCCCAAGAGATTAAGAAAAGCTATTCAACATAGAGTGGATCTGCTTCTGTTCACTGTCTCCTGCTTGCCCATTTGCTGTTTTCCTTCTTTCCCTTTCACCTTTCCTACCAGCTGCTTAATTTCTTTCTTTCAGCCAGGATGCTTTTGACCTAAAAGCTTCCATGCCTGCTTTCTTCTACCAGGCTTATGCAGTGGTTACATCGCTGCTAGAGTCTGTGCTTTATTGGTGAGTAAGCATTACCCATTTCTACCTGGTGGTAACATTCCTTCCCTCCATGGATGGAGCCAAAGAAAAAGCCAGACTCTGTGGACCAACCAAGACTTTGGCAAGTATTACTCTGCATTTGACTAGATTTCAGACTCCTCTTCCTGAGTAGGCCTTTGCAGGCCACTAGAAATAAATTGTTATACATTGTTACTGTGCAAATCATGTTCTTTTTTTTTAAAACAACAACAACAACAACATCAAAAAACTCCAACAATTTGTATATGAAGGTCATTTAAAATATTTTCCAGGCTCCAAATTATCCATAGGGTAATCAGGTTGGGCTGTGGCCCCAGAGAGGAAAAAATAATGCTATTTCTTTGTATTCCACATTTAACACACAAAAAACCCTCTGTGTCTCTGAATCATTAATTTACAAATAACTGGAAATAGGTCCTGCAGGCATGATGTCCTTCTTTAAGATTTTTAATGTTTCCAGGGATATTTGATGCGTCTACTTTGAAGAGATCAGGTGCAATCTACTCTTAGAAGTTTTAATTTTTTTAACCCTAAATCCAGTGATTGAGTTTGCTTTCGCCTACCATGGGGGAAGTATTAAGGCCTTTCCCTGAATTACAACATTCCAAAAGAAACTGAAGTTGATTCAGGGTTGGTAGGAAGGGCTCCAGCCACAGAGTGGATATTCACTCCTTTTTCATTTTTGCTGCTTTTTTTTTCTTTTTTGACATAGTTTGGAAGCCTGTGTCCAACAAAGACTGGTGACCGATATGCACACATAGACACGGGTGTGCGTATGCATGCACATACCTACACAGAACCTTTTTCTTGAGAAAAGAGATTCTCTTTTCTCATCTGGAGATATAAAATATTTCTAAGAAACAGATACAATATATTTAATAATAAATAAATATAATATATTTAAATAAAAATTTATGAAAGGGAATTTAAATCTGATGTCCAAAATATAAGTGTTTTGATCATTTGGAACTTGTTTTATGAATACTTCTGGATGAGACATCGCTCTCATGCCCCTTTTGAAAATGTATAGGTGTGTGGATCTTATGCATTTATTCACCTCCCTAAAATACTCTTAAAAAGGCTTAATTTAAAATCTAATTTTGCCGGCTGCAAAAAAGCCAGCCGGGTTATAAGGGCACTTTCCAAATAGGCGACGCAGACAGACCTCAGCAAAGGTCTCAAAACTCGAATGCGACTTCTTCCAGTTGCATTTTTTGGGGGAAACAAAGGTTTCTCCCAGGCATTGGAGTAGACTTCTAGACTACACCTACTAGAGAGCCAGCAACCTCGGGCTGTCTGCCCCTGGGAATAAGCCTGCTCAGCCCGCCCAGGGTGCGGACTACTCCATTGTTTAGCGTACAAACTTTCCGTTTTCCTGAGTTCTGCCATCTTCCCCACCCCCCCTCCTGTAGGCACTACCCAGGCTCGCAGCACAGCGGGGATCCTTTCACCTAGATATCTTTCGTCCTCAATTCTTTGGTTTATTCCCACAAGATGGACAGGCCATCTCGGATAAGATGCTGGGGGTGGGGGGGAATGTTGGTATGTGGAGCTAAAGTGGACAACTTTCCTCTTAGGCCTTCCCCCGCGCGAACGCCTGCCGCATCGCCCCATAAAGCGCACTAGGCTCCCCAGCTCTTTTTAGACATCAGCCACCTCCCCACACCCACCGGGATCCCAGCGCAAGGGCTAAACCTGTGGCCTCTTACCTTGACACATTTCCGAAATCACTGCCAGCGGGCAGCTGGATTCTCCACGCCGCGATGCCCGCGAGGCCTGGCGGAGGCTCCTTGCTTTAAATTACAACATCGATCACCTCTTGAGCGCGAGCACCCCCCCCCTTTTTTTTTTTTTTTTTGGTACGAAGGGAAACGGGACAAGTGAAATAATGTACCGTGCTGCTCTTAGTATCAGAAGCGAACAAAGGCCAAGAATCACGCTGGGGTTCCCGGCTCCCCGGCGGCTTTGACATTGATCGGAAGTGCGCCATCTCGTGGCGGCTGAGCGCCTAGGCCCAGCCGGAGCTCCAGCCTGGCAGCCGAGAGAAGGAAGCCGGTTCCCGGCAGAGACAGAAGAAGAAAGGGAGAGGATGTGCCCAGCCCGCTGCTATTGAGATCTCATTTTTACATCTAAGAAATTGCTGCAAAACTCCAGCCGGGTTTATAGAGGCGCATTCCAAATATGCAAATTGGCCTTCCCGGGACGGGTTTACGACCACATTGTCACAGCCACCGGAGGATGGGCTTTTATAGGGCTCAGAAATCAAACCCGCGCCCGCCCGCCGCCCGCCCGCCCGCGAGCAGTTCTCCTGGCTAGACTCTAGCAACTTGAGAGACTTTGGTTAATCTTTAACCATCCCAAAGGAAGTCTTTCCCTAAACCCGGACTTCCCTGCCCGCCCCCTCTATCCCCCCAGGAGGGCCCTTGTTCCTCTCTGTGTGTCCATCAACTTAGACATTCATGGGGGGGGGGTGTCTGTCTCGCTCCCCTTTCAGTTCGCTTTCCTCTGTTGAGCTAGCTAGACAAACACACAAACAAACAAACAGAGTAGGGTCTGGAGCCTGGGGCCTCTTTCCAAATGCGACCCTCTCTGCTGCTTTGGCCCTGCCTGGGTGGCTAAAGAAAGGGTGGATGGGCAACAAAAGGCTCTGTCCTTTCCGCCCTGCCCCTCAAGGTTATGGGTGATGTCCAAATTTAAGGCAGAAGTTCAAAGGCAGCAAACAAAGAGGAAACCCGACATCTTTCTTTTCCCAAAGGGAAACCGCTGCCCCAGCTGGGAGCTGGAGAGAAAGCTCACTGGGCTCCCGAGAGTCTGGTCTGACTTGGAGCCCAGACTGACCTTCCCCCTGTTAGAGGGATCCACAGGGCAGTACAGAGGGGTTTTACCCCAGTCTCCAGCCCTGAGGAGAGCAAGGATAGCCTAGGGTAAAACCCACTGGCCACTCCAGGCCCAAGGATTTCTCCAGGGCTGAGAATGAAGTCTCCCTTAGGGCCTGAGATAACCCATCCCTAGGACCCTACTTTCCAGAGGGACATGGTCAACCATCTTGGCTTCCTAAGCTTGGCTTCTACTGTATCCAAATTCTGATTCAATCACCTCTTCATTCTCTAGAAAGGGAATGGTGGTGGTAACTTGTCCCTTTGCCAGTAAAAGGATGTCAAAGGAAGGGAGACATTTGGCAGGGAAAGAAGAGCAGGGAGAGGAATGTCACACCACAACCCATCACTCAAGTTTCCTCCGTCTTTATTTTCCTTGTGTCTTGTTGTCTGTGTGCATCCTGCAATGTATATGGTGGGCAATGTCCGAGAACAGGCAACACTCCCATTACAAACAGAGACACCAGACATTTCTTAACAGTGGGAGGCAGAACAGATTCAAAGGGAGGGTGCCTGGTTCCAGGTCCTAACCAGCTGCACTGCTTTCCAAAACCCAGAAGAAATCAACTAATGGCCAAAAAAAGTATTGAAACAAATTAGGTTATGGTTCCTTTATTTACAAGTCATTTGAACACCATCCCTGTATGAAGCGTACATTCAAATATTCTTAGCAGTGAGCGAGTTTAACCGTGGAACACTGTAAACAGATAGAGCCTTTAAATATTTTCCTCCTCCTCCCACCCTCTACATTGCATCTTTTAAAATTCACTTTGGTTCCTTCAGGGAAATATATATATATATAATATAATATTTATCTTTTAAAATAATTCCAAATCACTCTCAGGGTCTTGGAAGGTCACCAGAAGCTTCCAAGTCTAGTTCTGAGCCAATGAGGGCAGAGTTCGGCACCGGAACTGCGGATTGTGGGGGACTCCAGCCCCTTGTAGCCATAGTCATGGACCCACTGGCCAGGCCCACTGCTATGCTGCCTGACACAGAGCAAATCCAAGTTTCATTAAATGTGGTGGAGACTTTACCAGACTGCTGCACTCCACAGGCATTTCCTGCAGAGATTGAGAGGCCAGCGGCCTGGGCACAGCCTCTGGATTTTTCAGTCTTCCACCTCGGGGGAAACCTGCAGCGTTTGGACCAGGCTCTGGGCCTGAGTGGCAAACTGGAATGAAGACTCCTCATTTGGGAGGAAGAAAATCCAGGTGGGCTCTAGGAGGTGGTCGCTAGGGGCTTAGGATGGTACTGTGAGGTGAGTAGCTAAGAGGGGAGAAACATCACTGCCACCTGGAGAGTAGATTTCTCTTCCCTGAAGAATCATCTGAAGTCTTTTATCACCTCACAGTCCACCTCTTAGTCCAGCTGCCTTTCACATGGCCTTTGGAAAGCAACCCCCTTTCTCTGCATCTAGGAGTCCTCCCCTCTTCTCCTGCTCTTGTCCCCAAGTGCAAAGGAGCCCGGAGAGGACATAGCTTCTTGACTTTGGAGTCCTGGGGGTAGGCAGGCTCTGTGTGGAGGGTCCTGGGAAAGTAGACCCCAGGGGGTCTTGGCAGGGGGCCCAGTCCCCCCAGTGGAGACCACACCCAGTCTCTGAATAGTCTGCAGACTCTCAGAATGAGCCAGCAGGGGTCCCAACCATTCATTCTAGTGGATGCACAACGCTCAGAATCCAATTATTAATAGGAATCTTAACCACTGAGATCTTGACCAAGAATCCCAGCATTCCCTTGTTGGGTTATCTCCATTTAGCCTCTGTCTTGTACATCTCCTTTTTTTTTTTCCCCAAAAGTCACCATGTGGCTTGACCTTGTCAAGGGCAAAATCTGCATATTACCTTCTGTGTCTGAAACCCCCCACCCAATTCCAGCCCACAAGAGCCTTAGAGGAGCGGATTAGCTGAGTAGTACTGTAAACGGTCCCTGTTGATTTTTTTTTCCTTCATCCTTCTGTTCTGAAACCAGATTTTGACTTGACGGTCGGTGAGGTTGAGCATGCGGGACAGTTGCAGGCGTTTCTCTTTGTTAATGTAGACGCTAAAAAAGAATTCCCGCTCCAGCTCGCGGATTTGGTATTTGGTATAGGGACAGCGCTTTTTTCGGGTACGTTGGCCACCTATGGAAGGAGAAAGACAGGGGGTGAGCCAAGCATGGAGGCTACAAATCATCTGCCCCCCAAAAAAACCCCAAGTTGAGGAAAAAGGCTAGCCACAGCCAGTGGAGACCCCCCAAGCTCCTTTCGGGTCCCTCTAGTCCCCTGCCCTTAGACTCCTGCGAGCTGGGGACAAGCTGCTGTCGGAGCTCAGCCTCAAATAAAATCCAGCTCCTTAGATAGGCCCCGGGGGAAGGCGCTCTGGCTGCCCCCGAGCAGAAGGGAAGGCTCCTTATAGCAACAGGCGAGTTTGCTCTGCCTAAACCGCTTTGAAAGCAGCCGAGTGGGGGGTTCCTGGCTGCCTCTCGCCCTGCCAGACTAAACAAACAGCCGCCTACGGACATTTCACCTTCAGCACCTGGGCCGCCTGTTGCCGAAGCAGTAAAGGAGCCCAGGTCCCAGGCTTTTTCGTGGTGACTATGATTCTGATCTTGTTAACTTGTGGGGCGGCTGCAGGGTCTTTGTCAGCCTCCAGGCGGGTCATCAGCTCCAGCCTCCCGAACAACCTCTCCACCAGCCTGGTGGGAGGGGGGGTGTCAGCCGAAGACCCCAGCCCTATCGCCACACAGCCAACGGGGAAGAGGGGGGGGGCCTCGGCAGGGCTGGGGTGCTGTTTTAGCAAGACGGGGAGACAGTGGCTTCTTGAAGCCACAGGCAAGATCGACTTGCTCCCCCCCCCCCCTTGAAAGAAAGAAAGAAGAAAAAAAACCAACCCCACAAGACCAAGAAAAAAAATGCGTTTGACAGATTTAATAACAATTGTGACTAACATGAGTTGGACAGAAGGCAGCACGTAATTGCCACCGCGCCAGAGGAAAATGGCTTCCTTTGGACAAAAAGGCCAACTTTAGGTTAATTTGTTTCTTTTAATATATTGCTCGAGCTAAGCGGGCTACTTTATCTGTGAAATGCGCTCCGAGCGCCATCGTTAACCCGCGATGCCTTTGAATGCCAGCCGGGCCTGGAGTCCCCGGCGCAACACATGGCTTTTATAAAAATCTCCGGATTACCTCGCTATCAAAGGCTCCTGAAGCCCTTGTAGGGGGAATTTACAGGCGCCCACCTCCGGCTCCCCAGCCTGGAGCTGGCCCCGAGCGGGACCGAGCTGTCGGATTTGGGAGCTGAGAAGGAGGGGGAGAAAAAAAAAAAAAGGGAAGAAGAAGAAGGGGAAAAAAAAAGGAGTTGTGCTTTTTTTTTTTCTTCTTTGCAGGCATGCTTTGGCCGGTGGGTATTTCACGGCCAATTTCAGCACTCGCCACGTGATCCCGCCTTTTATAACAAAGTTTTGTTGGGGAAAACCTAAAGGCCCTTCATAAACCTTATATGCTTATAAAACAGCATATAAAAATTTAACAGCGGTGCTGGGCTAGATTTCCAACTCCCCTTTCATAAAGCGCAGGGCGCGCAGCCTTTATACGTACTGGAGCCGCCGGCCTTGTCCTCAGTGTGGCCGGAAGACGACTCGGGGCTGCTACTGCTCTCGGGGCGCCGCCGCCGCTCCTTCTCCTCCGCCGCCGCCGCCGCCGCCGCCTCCCGGCAGCCACCGCCGCCGCCGCCGCCGCCGCCGCCGTCCGAACTTGAAGTTGCCGGCGCGCCCGCCGCCGCCGCCGCCGCGGAGGTCGCCGTGGCCGCTGGGGGCCCTTTCTCGGCGCTCTTGTCCCCGGGGTAGTCGGAGGAGGCGAGGTTTTCCGGGGTGCCGTAGGCCGTCTCGAAAAACTGGTCGAAAGCCTGCGGCAGGACGCCGTTCCTACCCACCGTGCTATAGAAATTGGAGGAGACGGCGGGGGTGGGGTGGTGGTAGACGTTGGCCGAGCTCTTGGCCAGCACGTCGCCAGGCACGCCGGCCGCGCTGGGCGCCTGCAGGCAGTCTCTGTGCACGAGCTCCTCCGCAGAGTAGCAGTGAGCCAGATTGCCGCGGGGGTGCCATTTAGTGGCGGGCTCAATGGCGTACTCTCTGAAGGTCACTTCGCGCACGGGTTGGACCTGGGGCAGGTTGGAGGAGTAGGAGTATGTCATTGGGCGCGAAGACGGGGTCTGGGGCAAAAAAGAAGGGAGGCTGGAGAAATCTGGACCCGAGACGTAGTAAGTACAACTTGGCAAATACATGTTAGAGGAGCAGGGACCACGCTCATCAAAATCCATCATTGGGCTACCTTGGGCTCTCCGCAGTAGCCGAGCTTAACATGATTCTCCACTGCAGCTGCCTCTTTGAAGCGGATCCGTGAAGTAGAAATTTGGAGACGTAAGCTGACGTGGAAATCTATCCCCATCCTTAGCAGGGAGGTGCTGGTCATGTGACCCGATGTTGAAATTGACAAGCTGCAAGCTAGTCTGGGCTTTTTTTTTTTTTCTTCTCCTTCAACCCCCCCCCCCTTTCCTTTTTTCCCCCCTCCCCTCCCTCCTCGGCTTCCTTTCTTTGTAGCCACCTCAGGGGAAGCAACAGATCGTCACTCGGTGTTCTCACCGAAAGCACGTAATCGCCGGTGTAACTCATGTTGGCTGGGGGGCCTCCCGGCGCGGTGAGGCCGGGGTGCGCCCGCAGGCTGCTCGCTTTGGCTTGCCGGCACGGTCCTGGCCCTCGAGTGCGCCCAGGGCGGTGAGAGAGATCAACCTCCGATGCCTCCCACCCCGTTCCTCCCCAGGGGTGAGGGATGCTATGGGCTGGGGGGGGGGGGCGTTGACCAGGTGGAAGCCCAGAATGGGGTGGTCGTGGTCTGAGAGTCTGTTCTCCTGAGGGCTAACGTTCGCACCTCCTCCTTCTCTGCAGCCGACCCCCCCCCCCCACCTTCTCCCACAGGCTTGCTCTGGGAAGCCCCTCAGCCTCAGACCCTGACTGGACCCCATTTGGGGCCAGGGTTCGCCACCGTGGATGTGCCGGTCCCGTGCTTTATCCAATTTGCACGGTGACTCGATTACACGCTCGCATTCATGGTCACTTCCGAAGCGCTTTAGTGCCTTCCGTCCCTAAACCGCCAACAGCCTGGGCGGCTTCCCCCCGCGGTTTGTCAATAATCCGCGGGGTCCGGAAGGGCCTTCGTCTCACCCGGGATCCATTTTCCCTTCCTCCTTCCATCTTGCCTCCTCACCCCACCCCCTGTTCTTGGAGAACCCCTTTCTCCCCGCTGCCTGCGGGGGTTCGGAGGGACTCCACAGAGCCAGGGGCACGCACGCTGCGCCTCTAGCTCACCGGTCAGCTGGCCTGCCTGGGTCTTCAGGAGCTGAAGAACCGGGAAACCATGCAACTGAGGCAAGCCTTGGGCTGTTTTAGAGGCGCTAACATCCGAAGAGCCTGTTCCTGGGTATGCTGCACCTTTGGGGGACCCTGCCAGGCTGCTTGCAGAGTTTCAGGACTGGGGGGGGGGGGCGGGAGATGGAGGGTGGTGATAAGGAAGTGGTGATGGCCAGGCAGCTCTGGCTAAGAAAGAGGGTGAGCGGCTTCCTTGCAAAGCCTGAGAGTGAAAGCAAGGGATGAACAAGGAAGAAATCCACACAGCTCCTGTCTTTCTTGCTCCTCATTCCACAGAAGGAGCCAGAGGGGGGGCGGGTAGGGGAAGGGGTGCTTCTTAACTCCCCACACCTTGGGCGACAGGGATGCCTTGTGAAGCCTGGGTTTGCGCTAAAGATGGAGTAGGAATCTATGGCTGCTAGGATGAACCTATCCTTCTTGAAAGGAGAAAAATAAGAGAAATGAAGACAAAATAAAGCTTATCATTCTGCAGGATTGAAGAGCTATATTTGGGGGAAACGAAAGAAGGGCGAGGGCACAGAGCACAGAGCAGACAGGCAGGGCCAGAAGCAAGAAAGGGGCCCAGACCTGAGACCTCCCCACAACTCACTTCATAGAAGGAGCTAGGGTGTCACAGAAGGAAAATAAAAAAAGAGAGAAGTCCATTTCCCTCCCCACCCCCATCCAGGAAATAGCCAAAAGTATTTACATATCTTGGGGAGATTTAGAGTATAAACTCTAAGATCTTTGGTATTTAAGTGTCAACATCAATTTATTTATTTATTGCTGAGGTGACCATAACTGACTCAATAACAAATTTAATCATGTATTGCACTGGAAAAAGAAATATTCTCATTATGTATTTTCTCCAAATAATAACCCACCATTCTATTTGAATACCCACTGTAAATATCAATAATAGTGAGTAATTACTATATACGGAAGTAAACTAATTTATTAGCATTTATGTTTATGTCCTTCCCTTTTTTTTTTTTTACAAGGGTTGCTTATCACAAATCAAGCTACTCAGACACATTGGTTTAATGAACTCTTTATTCAGGATTTGCTGCAAGAACTTTCATGCCCCTTGAATCCCTGAGAGCTGAACTTGAGAAATTATTTGTGCATTTTCAGCTTGACATATTTGTCCACTGTGGCTTGCACAGAGGGCAGCATCTGAAAGTCCAGTGGGTGGAAAGGTTGTTGAAGAAAAGGAGCTTTAAGACCCCTAAAGCTGGGAATCACAATGACAGGATTGTCCTGCAGGGAAACACTTCTATTTCCAGCAGCGACTAACAAGGCAAAATATTTGTTTCTCCACAGTATCTCTTTCTTGGAGACAGAATATAAGAGTGGAGGCGAGATTTCAAGCCGTAGTATTTAAGCCTTGTTTTTGACCATCTCAAATTGTCTCTCAGCAGCCCACCCAGTCCTCACCACCCCTACCCTTTAACAAAAGGAATGCAAGGAGGGTTTCAGTGACTTTGCCATAACAAAGGCGCCACCATTGCAGGGCTCGCCCCGCCCCTGGGTGAAGGCAAACAAATTCTTGCACTTGTATTAGGGCTTTTAAGACCATAATTGAACCCGGGGGCGTCTAGGAGAACCGAAAACAGTTCTAGACAGACCTGCGGTTTTATAGCAGTTTTGGCAGTCAACTTCAGCTTGTGCCTGAGCAGTGGGGCCCGAGGTGGCCCGCCGGCGGGGGGATGCCAGACCACCTCCCCTAGCTGCACACAACCCTTCTCTTAATTGGATCGGCTTCCTCTGGTGCCAGGGGGGGAAGGGGTTCCTGCAGAAAGGTCTGTATGAGGTTGTGTGGTGGTGTTCACACCATTGCCTCCTAGGTTCTCCTCGAAGGCCAAGCCGACAAGCCTAGATCCCATGGGTGTCTGTCTGTCTGCAGGAGATAGGCAAATTCCCCAGCGAGGAAAGGCTGGGGCAGAAGAAGGCACTCCAGAGAGAGGTTGGCAGAGCAGTTCCACAGGCTAGACCGAAGCCGGGTGCCCATAGGGACTTGCAGCCTGGAAGAGGGTATGAGGGGGGGCGCTGCTGTGAAGATGGGCGAGGAAAAAGGCTTTTTGATGCCAGCGGAAGGGAAAACGCCCAGAGCTGCCGAATACTTTTAGTTCCCCAGCAAGAACAAGGAGGCCGCGTTCTCAGATCCCTTATCTATCAGTCTCACCAGCTTTGCCCGCTCCTGTACCCACTTGCCTAGAGTATACTGGTGGCGTGACTGCTCCTCCAGATAAGCGGCAGGGTTGCCGGGGTACGCGCCGCTCTTAGGTTCGGACCCAATCTTGGGGCAGGGGTCGGGGGGAAGGAAGAAGTGGTAGAGCTGCGGATTCTTGGTTTTGACTTTGCTCTGAACCTAATTGTCTCTTCCACTTTGCAGGAGGGCCTAAAGCTGCTTTCAGCCCCACTAGGCTCTAGAAAAGACTCCACTGGGGCCAAGGCCACCCCGGAAGGCCAAGTCCGAGTTCCATGTCTTGAAGAAGCCGCGCGGCGGGCAAAGTTGTGACATTGGCCCTGGCGATTGGTTTGCCAAAAGCTGTTCTTTCTCCAGAGCTCCACAGCGTGGGGCCATCTCCAAAAAACACTCCTCAGCGTATATTGCCTTTAATCGTCCACCCGGAGGCCCACGGCGGCTAATGCAAGAGGCCAAAAATGTTTGGAGGAAGAAAAACAAAGGCAGGAAGTGGCGGCGGCCTGACGGTGCGTGTGTGTCTGTAAAGAAGGGAGGGAGCCGGTTCAATCTCTTCTTGTTTTTCCGAACTTCAAGGTCTCGGCGGGCCTCCGCAGGGCACGGCCCGGGGCTCCCAAGTGCAGTGTTTCAAAGTGGCCACCGGGAGAGAAAGCGGGCGCCCCGGGCTAGCCTGGTCAGGCGGAAACGACTAACAAGGAGATTTGGTCAGGAAAACAGGCTAAGCAATTCCCAGGTTTAGTCCGATTTGGTTCTAAAGGTTGGGGCGGAGGGATGGGAGATGCAGAACACCTCGCAGGCGGAGTGAGTGTCCCCTGGCCTGCGTGACGATCCGGTGCATCCTGCGCGCTAGCCGCCTGACTTCCAGATTATCAGAATAAAGTGAGTCCAGGCCCCTGTGCCGAATCCACTTCTTCTTGCAGTTGGAGACTTCTGCACAGCGGCGGGAGGGCGCGGGCGGGCGATGCCTAGGCTGGGTGGCCTCTGGGTGCTCATGGCTAGCGCAGTGCAAAGCCTGGTCCCGAGGCTACAGTGCCAGGGGCGTTTCCAACACATTCAAGGGGCATTTGTGAAAAGGACCATCGCTGGATAGGCAGCTTTCTACTCTAACTGTAGAAGGGAGCGGTGAGCACCCCCAGACTCTAGGCTTTCCTGGCTTACAAGGTAACAGCTGCTCCTTGTCCCCCAAATGTGGGAATCTGAAGTTCCCGGTGCCTGTATTTGAAGCCCTTTGGAAACTCAGCATGTGGTCCACACTATGAATGCTGAACCTAGCTGTTCCAACTGACCACTGATTGTTTCTCCTCAAACCCTTCCAGTCTGGGTTCAGCTCTTGATAGCTTCTCTTCCCTCTTGTCCCTTTCCACCCTGCCTCCCATTCCCAGGCCTCTGCTGTCCTTTCTCCTAGAATGAAGAGGAGCTGAGGTGCTTCTGGAGGATGCCTGGTACCAGGCATAGAGAAAGGGGCCTATTAAGTTTCTGATTCTCTTCCAATTTGGGCCTCATGAACTAGGTCTCTCCTGTGTGCACATGCTCCCTCCCTCTCTCCCTCTTCCCTCCTCTCCAATACCTCCTCCTCTTCTGGTGATTCAGCTCCTATTTTCTATGCCAGACAACTTAGCATAGTAGCTGGTCTAAGATAGGTTTGATTCATTTCACAAACCAAATCTCATTCACAGTATTGCTCAGCAAATTACTTAAGCATCTTTAATATTGCCTCTTATTGCATTGCTGACATGAGCACTTGCTTGCCCAAATACTGCACCCAAGAAAAGACTATTGCTACCTTAGTGGCCACAATACACACAGATGGAAGAATTGGCTGGGAGGACAAGGGTGGAAATGGCCACAGAGTCCTTCCCCCAGGGGTGGAGGGCAGCTCTTCACTTGAGGAATTCCTTTTTTCAAGTTGGAGGTGTCCTTCAGGGTATCTCTCCTTTCCATGTTGAGCTAGGGAGATGGATTGTCTGGGATTGCCCAAAGCTTTCCATATTTGTTTTTAGGGTAGTATTTAGTCTTAGCAGATCACATCCAAGCCACCATATTTTGCTTTGATAAAAAATATCAGGATCATCTCTATCACAAGAGGTGTTCTTTTTGTCAAGCCACTGACTCTACCTTAAGCACAAGGACAGGTAATGCCTTGAACTTGACCTCATGGTTAGATCTTAGTCTGACTAGCAGGTCCAATAATCTTCCAATGCCTGTAAACATCTGGAAAAAGTCCATTTTCTTCCACTGGACACTGGGACATCAGGCACAGGGCTCAGCTGAAGGTCTCAATTGCCTAGGCAATTTGAATATCATTTAGTGAGTCTCAACCTGATGGAAGAATGGAGGGTGTCTTTCTTTGAGGCGAATTATTTTTTATTTTTACGGTTGCCAGGTAAGATTTTATTTTAGTCCCCTGCCCCACTGAGTGGGAACAAGTGGGATGGGGGAAAGTCTGAAGGGTAAAGCCCAGGTTTTCAGCTTCTGCCTTCCATTTTCCCAGCAGCTTCTGCCCAAGCTGGGTGTGTCAGCAATAAAAAGCAAGAGGGCCTTCCAACCGGAAGATTGGCTCTGGTCCTTGGTCTCATTCCTAGGCTGTGGAACTAAGGCTTAAAAGATACTCTTGTGCCCCAAGCTACAAATGTCTTTTAGGGCAGCTTAATTTTCTATTCCATGCAGGTGGAAGCTCAGATTGCAGGCTTGAGAAACTTTGCCCCCATCCAGCCCTACCCTAGAAGCTGATCCCCATTCACCTTGCTAGACAGTTCTGTGATGTTACTTATTCATGAATAATCCTGCTATATATACCCAACCCAGCCCTGCCCATAAAGTTCTAGGGTTAAGGCTCAGCTTTTTTTTTTTTTTTTTTTTTTGACATCTCAGTTTGTCTGTCTTTTGAAAAAGGAAGATATTTTTCAGGTCCTTTCTAGTTCACCTGGCGTGATAGGTTCAGTGACAGACTAGGTTTATGATAACAGTTCACCGTGGAGCCAGATGCTGACCTACTACAGGCATTGGCTGAGAGGCTTGTTTCTATATAGAACTCAGTGAGAGGTTCTTGGGGCCCAGGAGTTTTACATGGACAGAGTTTACCTCTCTCTTTGGCAAAAAGAAGAGCATTGAGCCCTCACCAAAGGCCTGCTATGCCAGCGTCTGGACTCAGGGACCCTATGGGTTTTTTGCTACCCTATCCGATTCCCAGCCTCTGGCCCATCTTGGCCACTTGTTCCTACCGGGACCAGAACTTCGATCCAGCCACGTCTGTTCTCCTGGGTTCCTGGGCGCTCCCTCTTGCCCAGGCTAGGTCGCCGCGGGGCTCCGATGTCTCCTGCGCTGGGGCAGATCCCGATCTTCCGGGATGAGGACACAGCCTGGGCCACCTTTGGCTGTGGGATTCCTTTCCAAGAGGGCTGGGGGTAAGGAAGATGGCAATCAAGAAAGAATCCTATCTCCAGTGCTGGAGCTCAGGCGACCAGAACCCGTTTGCATCATGAATGATGGCCCAGCCAATTGTACGTCCTGTGCCTTCCTGCAATGGCTACAGCGACCGGCCCTGACCATGTAGACAGCCTCGGCGCCGAGGACTTGACCTTTACTGCGCAAGAGGACAGCGCTCTCTGAGCCACGGGGAGGGGGACGCGGCAGCCTCCGGCCTCTTCCACCCAATAGCAGCCCAGACAATCCACGCATGCTGCGCTGCTCACCCCTTGCCCCCCCCCCCCTTCCATTTTGTGCAGTGTCCGCAGGCCGGCGGCCAGGAAACAAAGCCCCCAGAAGCGCTTTAACCACCTCCCGGTGAACGCCTGTCCATAACTCCCCTGGCTGACGGCGCAAGGGGTAAAGCCGAGCAATCTAAGACTCTCTCCCCGCCCCTCTCCTCTGGTCCTGACCCCGATCATCCTCAGTCTACGCCTGGGCACTACCCCAGGTGCCAGCTCTGCCCCTGAGGGTGCTAAGTTCCTGGGCGCGGGGTCCTGCCGTCTGGCTGCGGACGGCGCGGAGCCTACATAACCCAGCCAGGCGCTGTAGATAGATGCTCAGGGCGCAGCCGGGCCCCAGGCTGCGTTCCCTGCCCAGGTGGAGAACGCGGCTGCTTAGCGGCGCCGGGATTGGGCCGCTCCGGTGCGCAGCGCGGCCTGCGTGCCCAGCTCGAACTCGGCGCCTTCGGATTCATCCCACCACTCCGCTTCGGGCTCAGAAAGCGGAAGTATTTGGTAGAGAAAAACACGGTTTCTTTTCAGCCCCTCTCAAAACCCCTTTCAGAGAAAATGCTCCTGTCAAGTTTTATTTCCCGTTGCAAACCACCTTCCACGCTGCCAAGAATTAAGACCAGGAGAGATTAAATACCCGATTATTCTCTTGGGGAGGGAGGGGCGGGGCGGAGAAAGGGGCACCCGCACAAAACCTTGGTTTGAATCGGCTGGTGCTCCTCAAATAGCGCCTACTGAGCCCGGCGAAGCCCCGCTCGGCCTGCCTGCGGTGACGTCAGCTTGTAGCTTGGGGCGACTCACCGCGCGCGTCCCCAGCCCTCCAGCATCCACCGAGCGCGGCCCTGGACCTCGGGGTTCCGCGGCCTTGACCTCCGCCTTTGCCGCGATCTTGCCTTAGGCCTCTGACCGGCCTTCTAGCCGTCGGAGTGAGGCCGGCTGTAAGGTTATGAGCCTCCATTTTGAGTAGGGGGTTCCTGTGGAAGCGTCTAGGATTTGGGGTCGCGCCTCTGTCCCCAAGGGGTTCGACATCAGGAGGCCCTGATAATCCACGGCAGAGCTTCTGTCACGCGTCCGCACCCTCGCAGATGGGGGAGGCCCGTGCCACCACACCGCCTCTCACAAAGGTTTGAAATTTTCAGACACCCGTCCTAATTACTTCTGCCTGGTAGATCCAGCTCTTCAGGCGTGCAGCAGGCCCGATCAGAAATGAAATCAACTGCGGCGAGGTCTTGGCTGCCTTCGCAGAGGAGTTTTTCTGCACTAGCGTCTTTTTCTTCCCTTTCCCACATCATAATATTTTTAAATAACAAGCACCGCTCTGGCATTCGTCGATGCTAGGTAGATGCACAAGCACTGAGTGGATATTCTCATAAAGAACGAAGCAGGCTGTTGTTTACCCAGCGGCCATGCAGATGAAAACTTAATTAGCGTGCCTGTCCTAAACCGAAGCATAAATCTGCGCGAGGCCTTTGGGACAACGCTACATCTTTGCTTATGAAAAATGGGAGGCGAGCGACTTGCTACACATTTCTCTGATTCTCCAGGTCTTGGGCTGCTGACACGCATTCGATCAAGTTTAAAGGAATGTGCATAAATCAGCAATCCCCTAGCGTCTCCCCGCTAGAGATCCGCAATTCCAGAAGGGCGCCTCTGAACCCCCCAGGTCTGGGGCTTGGCAGTCCAGGACTACCTTCCTTTCCCGATTTCTAAACTCAAAGTGACAGACTGAGACACCGCATCTTCACCCGACTCACCAAACACAAACAGCAGCGTGTAATCTGCACGTTTATATTAAGCAGAGAAATCTGGTGGTTAACTATGCACACACAAATATATTACCTTCAGCTAGCTTTCCCTGCCTCCCCGTACATCTCCAAGAAAAGAGTTTGATTAGGCTGAATTTAAAAACAAAACAATACAATAACTTTCCTTTTGCTTTCCTTAAAATTTGTTTCTTTGCTTCTCTATTGAAAAATTAAATTGAATGGCTTCAGCTCTGCATCATGCACAGTGTGAAATGCACAATTACATTTTATAATCATCCACATAAAATAAGTTAATGTGACAATATTAAAGTAGATGGAAAAAATTAAAGTCCCATATTTCTATTTCTTTCCAGAAGACTTTTTTTTTTTAGGAAAAAAAAAGTTGAATCAGGGTTTCAAGAACACTATCTATCT